TACTACTTACTACTACTTACTACTACTTACTACTACTTACTACTACTTACTACTACTTACTACCTACTACTTACTACCTACTACTTACTACTTACTACTTACTACTTACTACTTACTACTAACTACTAACTACTAACTACTAACTACTAACTACTAACTACTAACTACTAGGTACACGGCTCACAGGCGGCCGTGAGGAATTCAACACACCAGCAATGCTGAGCATTTGTTTTTCTGCTGATTTACAATGGTCAGAGCATTCCAGTCCATTTTGGATCTTTCACGCAGCCGTGCCATTGGTTAAAGCGGCCTCATCTCGTAATTAGATGGGGAAAAATATGTTTTTTAGTCATTTTGCAATGCAGTCAAACTATTTGTTTCAGTGGATGAAGCCGTCATTGAAAGTCATGATATTTCTTCAGCAGATCGACAAGGCATGACATCAATTCTTTGGGAGAACACGGCAAAATTGTTTGACGCCACATCCATTGCTGGATCATTGAAACTTGTAAGGCGGGCAGCCAAGAACGTTATCAGCCCCCCCCAAACCCCCCCAAGAAACAACAATGCGAAAATCAAGAGTGTCTTGCAAGTTACAAGAAGAAGTTGATAGCGTGTGCCAGGGTACGGTGCAAGAGAAGAGTGGATAGCGCAGCAGCAAGTCCAAGAGAATATCTTGTAAGGCGGGCAGCCAAGAACGTTATCAGCCCCACCAAACCCCCCCCAAGAAACAACAATGCAAAAATCAAGAGTGTCTTGCAAGTTACAAGAAGAAGTTGATAGCGTGTGCCAGGGTACGGTGCAAGAGAAGAGTGGATAGCGTAGCAGCAAGTCCAAGAGAATATCTCGTAAGGCGGGCAGCCAAGAACGTTATCAGCCCCCCCAAAACCCACCCCCCAAGAAACAACAATGCAAAAATCAAGAGTGTCTTCCAAGTTACAAGAAGAAGTTGATAGCGTGTGCCAGGGTACGGTGCGAGAGAAGAGTGGATAGCGTAGCAGCAAGTCCAAGAGAATATCTTGTAAGGCGGGCAGCCAAGAACGTTATCAGCCTCCCCCAACCCCCCCCAAGAAGCAACAATGCAAAAATCAAGAGTATCTTGCAAGTTACAAGAAGAAGTTGATAGCGTGTGCCAGGGTACGGTGCAAGAGAAGAGTGGATAGCGTAGCAGCAAGTCCAAGAGAATATCTCGTAAGGCGGGCAGCCAAGAACGTTATCAGCCCCCCCAAAACCCCCCCCCCAAAGAAACAACAATGCAAAAATCAAGGGTGTCTTGCAAGTTACAAGAAGAAGTTGATAGCGTGTGCCAGGGTACGGTGCAAGAGAAGAGTGGATAGCGTAGCAGCAAGTCCAAGAGAATATCTCCTAAGGCGGGCAGCCAAGAACGTTATCAGCCCCCCCAAAAGCCCCCAAAAAACCCCCAAAACCCCCACGGCCGTCTTTTTAAGGGCCGGGGTCCAATACTAACTATAACTATAAATACTGAACGACAACCTACCACCTACCACACTACCAATACCTACACCACTACCAACCTACCACTACTACCACCACCTACAACAGACCACCTACCACTACGTACACCTACACCTACCACTACTACCCCCTACCCCCTACCTACCCCACTTACCACCTCTCCCACCTACACGAAGTACCCCTACCAATAAAATACCTAACACCGACCACCTGACCACCTACCACCTACCACCTACCACGACCACCTACCACCTACCACTCCACCTACCACCTACCACCTACCACTACCTACCACCACCTACCACCTACCACTACCTACCACCACCTACCACCTACCACCTACCACTACGTACCACCTACCACCTACCACTACCTACCACCTACCACCTACCACCTACCACCTACCACCTACCACCTACCACCTACCACCTACCACCTACCACCTACCACTACTACCACCACTACCACTACCACCACCACTACCACTACCACTACCACTACCACTACTACTACTACTACAACTACTACGACTACTACTACTACGACTACTACTGATACTAATACTACTACTACTACTACTACTATCACTACTACTACTACTATCACTACTACTACTACTACTACCACCACTACTACTACTACTACTACTACGACTACTACTACTACGACTACTACTGATACTTCTGCTACTACTACTACTTCTGCTACTACTACTACTATTACTACTGCTGTTACTGTTACTCTTACTGTTACTGTTACTGTTACTATTACTGTTACTGTTACTGTTACTACTACTATTACTACTACTAGTACTACTACTGTTACTGTTACTGTTACTGTTACTGTTACTGTTACTGTTACTGTTACTGTTACTACTACTACTACTACTACTACTATCACTACTACTACTACTACTACCACTACTACTACTACTACCACTACTACTACGACTACTACTACTACTACTACTCCTGCTACTACTACTACTACTATTACTACTGCTCTTACTGTTACTCTTACTGTTACTGTTACTGTTACTATTACTGTTACTATTACTGTTACTACTACTATTACTACTACTAGTACTAATACTACTAGTACTACTACTGTTACTGTTACTGTTACTGTTACTGTTACTGTTACTGTTACTACTACTACTACTACCACTACGACTACGACTACGACTACGACTACCACGACAACGACGACGACGACGACTACTACTACTACTGTTACTGTTACTGTTACTGTTACTGTTGCTGTTACTGTTGCTGTTGCTCTTGCTCTTGCTGTTGCTCTTGCTCTTGCTGTTGCTGTTGCTGCTGCTGTTGCTGTTACTGTTCCTGTTCCTGTTACTGTTACTTATGCTGTTACTGTTACTGTTACTGTTACTGTTACTACTACTACGACTACTACTACTACTAATGCTACTACTACCACTACTACTACTACTACTACTAGTACTACTACTACTAGTACTACTACTTTTACTGTTACTGTTACTGTTTCTGTTACTGTTACTGTTACTGTTACTATTACTGTTACTATTACTGTTACTATTACTGTTACTATTACTGTTACTACTACTATTGTTATTACTACTACTACTACTACTACTACTACGACTACTACGACTACTACTACGACTACCACTACTACTACTACTACAACTACTGCTACTACTACGACTACTACGACTACTACTACTACTACTACGACTACTACTACTACTACTTCTACTACTACTACTACTACGACTACGACGACGACTACGACTACGACTACGACTACGACGACGACTACTACTACTGCTACTGCTACTGCTACTGCTACTGCTACTACTACTTCTACTACTACTTCTACTATTGTGACTACTATGACTACTGCAACTACAACCACAACTACAAGTACCATTTCCATTACCGCTGCCGCTGCACTACACTAACACTACCACCACCGCTACAACTACAACTACAACTACCAGTACAATCACAACGACAAATACAAGTACAAGTGCAACTACTATATACAACAACTACAGCTACAGCTACAACAAGAACAACTCAATAACTACAGCTACAACTACAAGTGCAACTGCAACTACAGCAGCAGCAACAACTACAATTACAGCTGAAAACTACAACCACCACTACCACTACCACTACACCACAACTACAACTACAGCTGCAAGGCTACAACTACAGCTGCACTACACTGCTCTACGCTGCACTACGCGTCACTACAACTACAACGACAAGTACAACTACACCACCGTTACAACTACAATTACAGCTGCACTACACTAAAATACACCACACACTTCATTCAGCAGTTATGGGTGAGGTGACCACTGCAACCACTCCAAACAGCACAACTCCAACCACCTTTCGGTCCATCATATCGCTCTGCCATCCATGCATCACAACAACTCACCTCTCCTATAGTTTCCTATCTTTGAAACTTCCGCCACCGCCTTGTGCGGTATTACTGGTAAGATAAATAGGTTGCTATGAGAATCTTGACGGTGAGCAGCCGATAACAAACTATTGAATAGTATATGATATGTGTATATGCATATATATATATATATATGTATATACAAAGTTCTTCTTTATTCTTTCATTCATTCATGTGCTTATTCTATTTCATTTATTCACGTCGCTTCGCGACGGCAACCGCCCGCACCGCATCGTTCGTAACTGACAATGATGTCGGCCATTGAGACCAAAAACATCCGAAAGTACTGATTGTCGGAAGAAAACACGCGAAGAATTTGATAGCCATGTATAGCGGACCAACGCAGTTCAAAAAATAACGAAAAACCTGAAAAAACGGCGAAATTGCTCTTATTTACAATGTTTTTGCGCGGTGAGAAGCAGAAACCACTGCAAATACCATGGTTTTTGAGGGTCAGGTGGCCAAAAACACTGTAATTTACAGTGTTTTTTTAACCAACGTCAAAAAACACTGGTATTTACGATGTTTTCATTCACACCGTAACATAAAACAGCGTAATTTACGAGGTTTTTGGAAGTTTTGAAGCTAGCCGTCAAGCATGCAGAAAACAGAAAAACACTGTAAAAACCAGTGTTTCTGCTATCACAAAACGACGAAAATCAGTCCGAAAACGGGTCCAAAAACTCAAAAATCCGCCTCCGGGCCAGGCCACCTGCGGAACCGCAAAAAAAGATGTTGCAAACCAAAAAATTGAGGTCAAAAAGTTGAAAAACACGGGTTTTTTTCACTTTTCGCTTGCCGATTTTGGACGGGCGCGTTCACGAACAGGTGTCTTCCGTACTGTTTTTTACAGTGTTTTTTGAAGGCGAGCGTCACGACCTATCAAAAACAGGAGGTTTTGGCCGAAAAATACCCCCCCCCCAGGTAAACCTGTAACCTTTTACGAGTGCCATCCGGAAGATCACGCCCCAGCACCTTCGGTGCGGGCGGACTTGTTTGTTCATTGTTTTACTTATTTATTGATATGATATTATCTATTAAATGATGTATTTATCAAATTCTTCATTTTTTATTCATTGATTCCTTCATTCATTCATTTGTTTATGCACGCTCAGGCATTTCAATAACACGTCGATCCTCTTGAGGCTGTCGAGGTCGTCTTTGCCATCTATGATATGCAAACCTGAGATCTCTGGGGGTGCCCAAAAAGTCTGGACATCCCTGGGCCAACTCACCTTGCAATCGAGAAACAGGATGGCACCCACAGCCAGCAGCAGAATAGCAACAACCCTGAAGACTCCAACCTGAGAGGGGCAGCCATGGTCTTAAAACGAGAGTGGAGATTCGTGCGCCGTAAGCACCTTCAAGCAAGACACCTGCTTCGACAAGAATGAACAACTCACGCACAACAACGAGGACTATGTCTTCCATTCATGTGATGATGTTGATGTTGATGTTGATGTTGATCTTGATGTTCTTGTGGTTGTTGTTGATGATGATGATGATGGTGGTGGTGATGGTGATGGTGATGATCATGGTCATGGTCATGGTCATGGTCATAGTCCTGATCCTGATCCTGACAATGATGAGGATGATACAATGATAAGATGGATGATGCACCGGCAATGACGAAATTCTGATGATGGCAATAGTACCAATAATCATGAAGCTCTGGATGAAAATGATCCTAAGAACGGCGATAGAACGCGTGAATGAGACTGAACATTGCACTCCCTCCCCAGTTCCACCATGAAAGGCACAGCAACATCAAATTTCACAGGTGTTTTCTTCTTTTTGGACTCATCTTCAGCCGCAGTGGTGGATGGATCCTTCTCGGGCGCCATGGTGGTGCCTGGGGCGGTCGTGTCTGGACGCTCGCAGGCTTCAAAGCGGCCCAGTAGCGTCCTCACGTAGGCCAGGCCCGCAGGGAATGAGGCAAACTGGTTGATTCCTATAGAAAAACATGAACAATAACAAAATGATACAGCACAAAAAGGATAGGTGCACTACAGTCACTCCAATTGTTTGACCTTGTGCCGGAACACCTTTCCAAAAGTGCCGACTTCCCAGAGACCTTCACCCAGGCAAGATATGATTTTCAGAGTCCTGCGCACATCCTCTCCCAAGCTACTAAGGCTTGTCATCAGCTCATCTTTGAAGAGAGAGGAGTGACCCGCAAAGGTGACCAGGCCTCAGAGTTGGAGGGTCCAAGAGTCAATTCGGGAGATTTCGGGAGATCACCAAGGATTAAAATCACCAGGATATTAAGATCCAAGTCAGTGCCACTGTGCCACTTCATATCCTGATCGGTTTAAACAAAGACTGGCAAGAACATGGGGAACCGATGAAGCTCCAGCGGACTGAGGAAAAAAATGCTGTCTGAATTTCCGTGTCTGACCTACAGTAACCTGACATACCGTATCATTTGACTATTTAACTGTGAAACAAAAAAGACTGGCTGGTGGTTTCAAGTCATTGCAAAAACAGTAGTCATGCAGTTACGTGGAACTATCATCCCAGCCAGGTTGATCTTCACACCACAAAGCAAATGATGTGAACACGTGAAACATGTATACAGTATGCACTCAACATTTGACTAGTAAGCAAACAATTGACCACCAGCTTCATACCGCGGGAGAAGGTCGAATGCGCGTGCAGATTACTCCAAAGATCTCACCGGTTCGCGAATCAAATGCCCCCGAGATTCGACCGTTGTGAAAGGCATCTGATCTCAGCAAAACCCGCCCTTGCTTCGAATCTCCGGCTTCATGATTCTTCAGTTTGTCCTGGGCGGTTTTTGCAGCGATTTTCTGCAGTTCTGGATGCAAACAACATAGGCAGCCTCACCAGGAAATGATTGGCAACACATTCCCAATTCTGCTGCTTTAGGTTGGTTCAACAATGGTTTTCTTTCATCCTCGCTCACGATTCTGCATTGGATGCTTTGCTTGTTTGGATCCCGACTTGTCAATGAAACACCAGCCAGTGTTCGTGGTGGAAGGTTGTTGGCGCGGAGCACCATACCTTCACGTACTCCTGGTTAGGTCAAAGCAATTTGAACAGTGAGTGATATGTCAGTGTGCAGATGCACCAACATATGGGTAAATCAACTGTGGTGCAACAACGAAGCAACTGTCGCATTGAACCCGGCATATTCAGAACAAAAGGGTTTTCAAGTCCCAGGCAGTCCAACCCTCGCAGCCAAAATAGGGGTTGGAGCTACCAGAGCAATCAAACCCTAATAAAATCCTAGTTACTTCCAGAGGCAGCAGAGGGATGTAGAGGTATGAGAGTAACCAAGAGAACCGTGTTGAACCAAGTAAAGTAGAGAAGGGGAAAAGAATAAAAACCACACAACTAGGGGAGCAGCACAGAAGGAAAGGAGGGAGGACTACCGCGGGACGGCCCCCGGGTAGAACAAGCTTGGGAGTCGGCCCTCCACAAGCACATCAAAACCGCAGGGGACGGCCCCCCTGGGTGACACTAAGGAAAAAAACAGGGAATAAAACACAAAGACAAAAGAACAAAAACGCGCGCTTGTTTGAGGTCAGTCCTTCAAGTGCGCTGGCGACTGCGCTGGGTCTTCGGGGAAGCACCTGCCTCAGCCTCTCTCTTGGGACTACGGCGACTTTTGCCACTACCTTTTGCTTGTGTAGGTAAGCCCAGTTGTTCCATAACCGCTTTGTGGGGACCGCTGTAAGACAGACGCGCGGGACGGAAGCCGATATCTTTGTTTTTGCCACAGACAGGGGCCCAAACAGGGTCGAGAAGCGCTTCCCTAACAAACATACTGGTTTCACTGGGGCGAAAGAGCTGGAGGACTGGCTGGACATCACCTTCCTTTTCCTTATCAGGAATGATGGTAATAGCCTCCAGAGCCTTTGCCAACATCTTGATAATTCCAAGGGTGGCTTGAGGGATTTCCAGCATTTCTGCTTGCTCGAGGAGAAACGTAGAGAGGAGGTTCCCGATTTGTTCTCTGAGAGGCGGAGGCGGCGGGGTCGGACGTTCGGCTGGCGGGAGCTTCGCATTTTTGTTCCAGGTGTGCCAACGGTCCAACACGGAGAGGCGCAAGTCAGACTTGGCGAAGCAGACCAAGGAGCGACGGGTAGTGTCGGACTGTTGGCGGTGACTGGTTTGGAGACATAACCTGGCGGTGCTATTGAGCAGCTGAGACTGCTTTTCCATGTCAGCCACAAGGCCATCAATGCGCTCACGTTGAGTCGGACCATTGCTTCCGGGCATGGACGATACGGAAAACACAAAGGGCAAATTGGGGGTTGCACGCTTAAGCATAAACATGGCAACGGAGGCGGTGGAGTGAGAATGCGTGATGTTGGAAAAAAGTGGGTGCATTATCAGGGGGACAATGTGGACAAACAATAGGTAACGGATGGGCTTTAGCAGGATGTTGACTATTGACATGCATACGTGCACTGGCATCACCTGGAAAATAAGCTCCAAAATCGCAACAAATTGCCGGGGAGGCATTCGGGGAATGTAACGGGAGATGTTGGGTTAAACCCTTCTCTAATTCAAACGTGCGAGGGCAATGAGGGCAGTCCCATGTTCTATCTCTGTAAGATCCCTCTCTGTGGGAAATTTGGAGGTGTCGTGATAGGCCTGCTTTGTTACCAAAACGTCTCCCACAACCAGGAACAACACACTCAAAAGCGCCTTCTCCCCGCGGCAAGTCCCTTTTATGCCAATATTTATCAAGCTGTCGGTCACTGTTTGGTAAAGCAGCTGTAGACTCCGCTGTCCCGCTCGTAAAATACGCTGGGGTGCGCGGTGTTTTGGAGGTCAATCTGCGGCGGGCGGGACGTGTGGGAAGGGGTGAGATGACCTGTGGAGGGGCTAGATTCGCTGCTAGTTTCAGAGCCAATTTTTGACTGGTGTCTACTGAAAACAGAAAGAGCTGCATGTCTGTCAGGTCGACCATAACATTATTCCAAGCATCCCGATGATCAAAAAGGGCTTCGATTATCCCTTCAATGGGGTATGTAAACCATTGTTGTCCTAGAACCTCTTCAGCTGCATCAATTATAGCATACCACGGATGTCCTTTAGCATTAAACTGTCGTTCCCAAGAAAGAAAAGTGCTGGAAGAGTCGACGAAATCCCGGAGTATTTTGGTGGCATGCGCGAGTTCAGCGAGGCAGCCCTTTTGCGTGTTAGTTACAGGCGTAGAGCCAATTTTAGCGATTTCCTGAGTCCTATTGGGCAAGGGGCTGAAACTGTTCGGGTAGCTTGGTTGTAACCAGGGAGCTACTAGGCGCGTCTTACGTTTCCAATCCTTCCCATTGTTGGATACAGCAAACTGCACCCATCCCGTAAGGGGGACCTCAATAATTTTCAGACTGTCAGCCATTGCGTCTCGTAAGCGTTTCCCAGGTTGTTTGCCGACATGTGGGTGTTGACCGACGTTGGGGGCAGAAATGAAAAGAGGGCTTGTTTCGGCAACCTATCCTCTGGAAGTCGCGCTACATGTCCCATCCAACGAAGGCGATTTTGATGCAGAATATAATCAATACTTGGAACCCCTAGGAACGCCAGAATCCTTTCATTGGTAATGTTACGCGTCTGTTGCATCCAACGAGTCACACCACAAATTTTGCGAAGGCACAACATGTGAAAGGTTTTGAGTTTGCGCATCAAGGGGTAAGTAATAGTCCAGGTTTCGCTACCATACAGTAGTACCGACAGGACACAAGCTCTATAAACCCGAAGTTTAGTGCGGAGAGTAATCTGTCGAACATCCCAGACATGAGAAGTCAGTTTCCAGAATGCCTTGCGGGCTTGGTCAAGTCTGTGTGTGATATCTTTTTCACAAGTAAGTTGCCAATCAATAAAACTACCGAGATACTTGAAGGAATCCGTAAATTGAACTGGGGGATCAGTAGTAGGTTCGTCCTCTAAGTTGCCAACATGGTGAAGCATGGAAACAAGCGCTTCCGTTTTTGCGTGAGACAGTGTGAGGCCCCAATGTGTTAGGTGGGATGAAAACTTCGCATAGGTACGCTGAAGTTTGACCAACGTATCTGTAATAAGCGCTAAATCGTCCGCATATCCTAGCTCTTGGAACTGCCATTCCACGTGAAGTGCATATTTACTTAAGTTAGCTTGACGACGTAGAACTCCGTCAACTCTACACTCCTTCCGTAGCAACCTGACATGTTTTATGCGAATAGTATTCTTTAATGAGGTATAAAAGATCATCAGGAACCCCTTTAATTTTTAGAACTTTCCATAAGCCCGCTTGTGCAACTGAGTCGTAAGCCTTAATGAGATCAATAAATAACAAAAACATGGGCACCTTTTTGTTTTTTGCTGTTTCGAGGATCATGCGAATGGTAAAAATCATATCAATCGTGCTACGCCCTCCGCGGAATCCGCATTGCCATTCAGGTAGAATGCGTTTTGTTTCGGCATATTGGTATAACCGTGCAGCAATGATCCTAGCAAACAGTTTCCCCGGTACAGAAAGAAGGGTGATACCTCGCCAATTGGAACAAATAGTGGGGTCACCTTTTTTGGGAAGCGGCACAATATATCCTGCTTTCCATTCCGCCAGCATAGGGACTACCTGTAACCACACGCGTACGAAGTGTTCTAGAAGAACCCGCAGATTGAGAAGGTTTAATGACTTGATTGCTTCTCCTGGTATGCCATCAGGGCCTCCTGCTTTACCTGGTTTTAACCTATGAACAGCTGCTACTAATTCAACCATGGTTGGAATGGAAGCAAGTTCGGCATCAACCGTAAGTGACGTCAACGTGGAAATGTAATCCGGCTCAGCTTTAGAAGGAACATTGAGTAGGTCAAAGAAATAGGCTTGCCATCTCTTTAATCTGTCTTGTTTGGTATGTTCAAATTCTCCATGCTCATTTCGTAGCTTTGGGACTGGGCGCTTACCAAGGTGTAGTATTGAACGGAGTTCCCTAAAACCAGCATATTGGTGTTGCGGCTGTTTTTCATCTATCTGGCGCTGGATGATTGTTGCCTTTGATGTCCACCAGGCGTTAAGCAAGTCATTAATCCTACTTTTAGCTTGTTTGCAGGCTAGTCTGTACGCAGTTTTGCTACCTCCTTGACACCACCGGGTGTACGCCTCGTACCTGAATTTACTGAGTTCCTCTAATTCAGCTTGACAGTCAATTTTCCATTGTGGCATGTGCTGTAGTTTCTTAACCCCTACTGCTTGCTCGGCCGCTTTGCGTAAACCGTAGGACCAAGTTTCATACTCATCGATAAGGTCTGCGTGAAGAAACTCTTCCATTTTGCCATTCAGCTGATCAACCTGTGCGGCCTGTTGGAATCGTGCTACATTTAGGGAAGGGAGTTTAGTGTGAAACTGACGCATTTGCCTGCCTCTAGAGCCAGCCTGCCCTTGGTACGCTAACGGAGAGAAACGAAGCTTTGTTTTAACAAGCCGGTGATCTGAGTCAAACCCTATGCCAGGTTTGGCTGCAACATCCATGACGAATTTGGCCGACCTTCTGGCTGCCAGAACCTGATCAATTTGGAACCACTTTCTACTGGAGTTGTGAAACCATGTCCCGTAGTGTTGATGTTGAAAGAAGGTAGACATTACACGCAGGATACCAATTTTAGAACCTTCACATAAAGCAAGAAGCCTTTCCCCGTTATCGTTCGTGTGGTTTAAACCAAAAGGGCCAACAATTATCGACTCATCAAGTTCTTCAGGTTGGGTAGTTGTGCTACGACTAACCCTAGCGTTAAAGTCCCCAAGAATAAAGACCTCTTCTTGAGACCCGATAGTGCCTAACATCTTATTCAACCTGTCATAAAATGCATCTTTGACCATTGCCTCAGAGCTGTATGTGGGCGCATAGACAGAAATAACATTGATAAGGCGGTTGTTGATACGGAGCTTAATGCGTAGAAGTCTACTTCCCGCGAACTCACAGAACTCTCCGGTGTGTCTCCAAGCCTTTTGCATGGCAGGGTTCACTGCACTCTCGGGCACCCCTGAATACACGATGACATGGTCATCAACATGCACTACGCCTTCTCCTCGCCACCTATGTTCTGAGATACAACATAATGAAATACCTGCCTGTTTGAGCGTGTGACAAAACAAGTGTGGTTTGTGTGGGTCCGATCCTTCGAGATGTAAGTTACCGTTTTCCCCTACATGTACATGACAGTGAAAGGTTCGTACATTCCATGTACCCCAAGCTACCTCTACACACCTACGTTTCCAACTACACTTTGCTGTCCGGCCCTTGCCAGGGGCCGTCATGCGTGGCTGCTCGCGTAGTTGTAAACGGTTGTCGGTGCTACGTACGTGTTCCTGGACTAGAAGTTAACCCCCAGGTAGCTAGTCAGGCTACAAAGGGGTGTAATACCGAGTAGAGGGGTATTGATCGTCCCATCCCCGGAGGGATAGAACCCCGGTTCAAATCCCTCAAACCCGGCCCACGCTCTCCGTTAGCCCTACCTCTAACTTAGTAATCTACGCGTAACATGAAAACAACAGCAAGCGGTAGGTTCACACCCGGTTACCCGGAGCAGGTAACTCACAAGAAAAACATCAGTCCTAGCGCCCCAATTCGACCTGCTCCTTCTGTGAGGTGGAGATGCGATTTTAACCGGGCCAGCCAGTGTTCTATGTAAAATAGATCCAGCGTTTGCCTTTTTGGGCACTAACACATCCAACATCTCCTGATACCTCGCTTGGAAATATATACGAAACTATTTTGCATAGCTCCGAATTGACCCCCCCTTTCAGCCCGTGGCACGTAGCTCTCCGAGAACGCTTCGCTGGCATTCTCCCAGCCGGGTTTTCCGCCTGGCAATTCGTGTCATGGTTGGAGGCTTTGGAGACCATGGTGGCTTGATGTGGCTTGAGAACGGGCCTTCAACGCTCACGTAGACCAACTCATTTGCCAAGTCTCTCCTCAGCAGGGAAGTTACGTTCATCAACCGCTGCTCCTTTCGGGGCACAAGAATCCTCCCAAATTTTGCATTGAAGCTTCAATGAATTTTGGGAAAAATTACAACATGCCCAGAGTTGATCCAACAAAGAAGGTCGGTTTGCGGGTTGTTATGTTTGTTCAGGGTTTGTTGAGAGTTTCTTTAGGTCGTTCTGGGGCCATTTGCTGTTTCTTTCAGGTTGTTCTAGGGAATGTGGGGTTTACTGTATTTACAACATTTAGGATCGATTTAGGGTGTATTCAGTTCTAGTTTAAGCTTGGACGAATTTGGTGTGTTTGGCTTTAAGGCTTGTGCAGGGCTTTGGTCTAAGGCTCGATGCTGCATCTATCCATCTATCCATCTATCCATCTATCCATCTATCCATCTACTGTATCCATCTATCCGTCTGTCCGTCTATCCGTCTATCAATCCAATCTAATCTAATCTAATCCAATCTAATCCAATCTAGCTTTCTGTCTATCTATCTATCTATCCATCTATCTATCTATTTATCTATGTATCTATATCTCTCTCTATCTATCTATCTATCTATCTATCTATGTATCTATCTATCTATCTATCTATCTAATTTTACTTATCTATCCAATTTTACTTATCTATCCAATTTTACTTATCTATCTAATTTTACTTATCTACCTAATTTTACTTATCTATCTAATTTTACTTATCTATCTAATTTTACTTATCTATCTAATTTTACTTATCTATCAAATTTTACTTATCTATCTAATTTTACTTCTGTATCTATCTCTATCTATCTCTATCTATCTCTATCTATCTCTATCTATCTCTATCTATCTCTATCTATCTCTATCTATCTCTATCTATCTCTATCTATCTGTATCTATCTGTATCTATCTGTATTCAATCTAGCCATCTATCTATCTATCTATCTATCTATCTCTCTATCTATCTCTATCTATCTCTATCTATCTCTATCTATCTCTATCTATCTCTATCTATCTATCTATCTACCTATCTATCTATGATCTATATATATATATATCTATCTATGACATATCTATCCATCTATGATATATCTATCCATCTATGATATATCTATCCATCTATGATATATCTATCTATCTATGATATATCTATCTATCTATCTATGATATATCTATCTGTCTCTATCTATCTATTTATCTATTTATCTATCATTCTATTTCTATCTCTCTATCTATCTATCTATCTGTGTGTCTGTCTGTCTGTCTGTCTGTCTGTCTGTCTATCTATCTATCTATCTATCTCTATATCTATCTGTATCTATCCCTATCTATTTGTATCTATTTGTCTCTATTTGTATCTATCTGTATCTATCTGGGTCTATCTGGGTCTATCTGTATCTATCTGTATCTATCTGTATCTATCCGTGTCTATCTGTATCTATCTATCTGTATCTATCTGCAGCTATCTATCTGTATCTATCTGTATCTGTCTATCTGTATCTATCTATCTGTATCTATCTATCTGCATCTATCTATCCGCATCTATCTTTATGTATCTATCTATATGTATCTATCTATATGTATCTATCTATCTATCTATCGGTCTATCTATCTATCTCTATCTACCTGTCTGTCTATCTATCTGTCTGTCTGTCTGTATCTATCTTTATCCAACCTATCCAATGTATCTAATCCATCTAATCCATCTAATCTATCCAAACTATCTTATCTAACCAATCTATCCAATCTATCCAACCTATCCAACCTATCCGATCTACCCAATGCATTCAATCTATCCAATCTATCCAATCTATCCAACCTATCCAATCTATTCAATCTATCCAATCTATCTAATCTACCTAATCAAGCTAACCAACCTAATCTACCTAATCTACCTAATCTACCCAATCTACCTAGTCTACCTAATCTATCTAATCTATCTAATCTACCTATTCTATCTAATCTATCTAATCTATCTAATCTGTCTATTCTATCTAATCTATCTAATCTATCTAATCTATCTAATCTATCTAATCTATCTATTCTATCTATTCTATCTAATCTATCTAATCTATCTATTCTGTCTATTCTATCTATTCTGTCTATTCTATCTATTGTATCTATTCTATCTATTGTAATCTATTGTATCTATTCTATCTATTGTATCTATTGTAATCTATTGTATCTATTCTATCTATTGTATCTATTGTAATCTATTGTAATCTATTGTATCTATTCTATCTATTCTAACTATCTCTATCTATCTATCTATCTTTTCTTTTCTTTTCTTATCTAACTTATCTATCTATCTATGATCTATCGATCTATCTATATCTATCTATATCTATCTATATATCTAATTCTATCTATCTAATTCTATCTATCTAATTCTATCTATCTAATTCTATCGATCTATCTATCTATCTATCGATCTATCTATCTATCTATCGATCTATCTATCTATCTATCTCTCTCTCTCTATCTATCTCTACCTATCTCTACCTATCTCTACCTATCTCTATCTATCTCTATCTATCTCTATCTATCTCTATCTATCTCTATCTATCTCTATCTATATATCATCTATCTCTATCTATCTCTATCTATCTATCTATCTAATCTATATAATCTCATCTAATCTAGACTATATAATCTGATCTTATCTATCTACCTATCTATCTATCTATCCATCCATCCATCTATTCCAATTAAATCCGCTCAACCTCAATCATGTGGCCAGGCCACAACCAAGCATCGAAAGGATCAGTTGCAGCAAGACATCAGTGCCACATTGATCATTGTCCTGAGATGGGCTAATGGAGTTTGTCACACCAATACACATATATTTATTATATCTATGTATATATTTACGCTACATGTTATGGCAATCTTGGTATCTTAATTGGGAAAAATGATGTCTTTCCTACCATGGGACGCGTCTTGGGTTCCTACCTTTGAGCCATTGGTTCCTACGGCCCTGGTGTTCACCTTGTGCCATCGCCCAGTGGCTGATGTGCCAGTGATGATCTTGTGGCATTTCTCCGCTTTGGGGCTGGATTTCTTCAGCCTGTGCTGAAAAGGCCCAAAAAAAATGGGCCCATCGGCCCATCCCTGACACCAAGCGCTGATAAACTACAGTTTCGTTCGAATGATCGAACACCGGGGACCAAAAAAACAGAGTCTCTGTAAAATAACTATCTTGAAAACAGCATCTCAAGAATAATGACCATCGCCACTTATAGCTTTCCATCTATAACCATTACACAACCCATAGTTTTGCTGGCTATAAGTCATCAGATCAGCTATAACCATGTATCTGGAAAAAATGTAACTCATCAAGATGACATGTTCGACCATCTGGGGACAGTTGCCCCGATCCAATTCCCATCATCTGTGGATCAAATTTATCACCATTATAAAGTTGTTTGCGTATCCCATTATGTCCCCATGATACAAAAATAGTTCTAACGGTAGTAATCATAATAGTAATAATAAATAAATAATGGTTATAGTTATATCACCATTATATGCCAGCATTTCCCGATGAAATGGGTTTTTCTGAACAAATTGGGTACCACATTCCATTGGTTCATCATCAGCCCATGATTCCCTTTAGAAAAAGAACCTAGTGTAGTGCTGATACACCCGCCATCTCTCCCATATCCAGATATTATCAGATATTAAGAATGATTATTCCATTCCCACTTTGTTGCTCAGACCTCGATCACATCCAAATATTCATAGTTATTATCCCATTATATCCCCACATCTCCCCACTATATCCCCATTGTCTTATTGATGGTTAATATGCGCATTGTCCCAATATTTCCCGTTGTTTTCGGCTGATATTCCCATAATATCCCCATGATACCCCCACAGATGACGGATTCCCATGGCACACCAACCGTCTCTCCGCGACGGGCCGCTGGACCAGTTGGTCCTCGCTTTCACAGCTCCATAGGGACTCGTCGAACCTCGCATGGCGGGCAACGGCGCTGAAAATGGTGTGAGAAAGATGAAGATAAGCAGGAAATATACCATAGTGACGACTATAGCTACTATAGCCTATCATTGCCTATGATAATCTGAGAATCAAAGCCAAACACCAACCCCAAACCACCACCCTGTGATGATTTCAACCTCGAGAATTTCGGGGATCATCCACGCAGGGACGTAGGGATGGAAAGACAAGAGAATTGAAAGAGCCAACCAATTATTTATATTATTTTGTTTGTACAAATTCATAATTCACATTTTCATATATTAAATATTAAATATAATCCTCCTTAACTGAAGGGTAAAATGTTTCACCCCTATGTTTTATAACAAGTATGGACTATGGAATGGTGGGGCGTGTTTTTTAATCAAATAACATGGATACTTGTTTGGCTTGTGATGTATAAAAAATATTACTTTTGTATATACTACCTTTTGGGTCTGGGCTCTTCCATTCCATACGGCTTCAACGAAAGGATATTATATATATATACACATATACATACACTTACACATACACATGTATCTACATATGTAATATTATCCAATCATATTGAGAGAGAGATATATATATACTCAAAAAAAATAACATATTCATATACATATTAATGACATACCCAATGGTGTGCCTTGTTGGTCAACTCACCATGCATCGGTTGCTTGAAACATAGCTGCTTAGCCATAAATACAGCGCCCCAAAAACTCGTTGCGCCAACATACCACAAACGCAGCTGGGCCACTTCGAGTCACAGTCAGCTGTTGATTCTCTGTTTCCTGGCCAAATGGACGTCGAAACATGGAACCCACGCTCCGGGAATCCATCAAAGGCTTTGAAAAATCCACCCGAAAAATGGGAGAATCTGCTTGAAAAATGGAGGTTTGAATGGGAACATCCATTATAAATGGAAGTTTCTAAATGAATGGGACAATCATCTAGGTGGAATTTCCAGCAAGCCATGTTAGATTATCGGAGGGTAACCCCAAATCATTTGTCATCCAACCTATCAACCAGTTGAGCTTCAAATGTGAGATGAAACCTAATTATTGAAAGCAAACATGGGAGATCATGTGAGTTTGCTTAAACCAAGCTTCACTTCAATCTGCATTCATTTACTGTCAAAGAATTCAACACTAGCATCACTGATGATACGCTGGACACACAAAAATCATCGGACAACTAAGTTTGGCTTGGAAAACACGTAAAAATACATAAAGTATTAACGCCTCAATTGCAATGTGTTGAAAATGTTGAGAGGTTCGCAATTTCTGTGAATCTTGACACAATTCTCCTCCAGTTTGCCCAGAACTTCTCTGTGTACCTCCCACCTACCTTCCCCACTGAGCTTTGCCGAAACTGGAGCATGCTTGAAACGGAAAATAATTTGGTGCCCATACGCCCGTTTTGCAGTTGAAATAAAAGTGCACCGAACAAAAAACTCATTTTAGACGCACCCAATGGCAGTGGGTTAAACTTCGGGTATCCTGGCTCTCACGCGAAATGAGCTGGTATAGCCGGACCTTCATCCCATGCATCTGGTATAGACCAATATAGACCGATATCATCTTTGCCCATCCCAACACCCCAAGGGCCACGGAGTTTTTCGATGCCGAGTTTCCAATGATGCAAGTCATAAAGTCTAGCTGCTTCTCGACCGTCTTCTGAGTGTCTGTCGATGCCTGGGAGATGTCACCCCGGTGGTCTCGGAGTTGGATCAAGGTGGAAGCAACCCCCAATCAGGTCAAAAAGGCTTAAAAAGGACACATTTTCCGAATCATTCCAAAAAATCAACCAATGAACATCAATGAACTCTCTAAATATCTTTTCTCAAACGAAACGACTTTTTCCAGAACCCAAATGACCCAAATGGGGTTGTCTCCGTCTCAAAATATGCACCCTGTTCCATGGTTGAAGACCTAATTCTCCATTTCACCAAGATCACTCGCATTATTCGATGGAATGATCTGGTGATATTCCATGTTGGTTACCCCAAGATCTCCCATGGTTTTCTGGTGAAATGACCATACTTTCCATGGCAAAAAAAACCGCCGCCGCTTGGGGCCTGGAGGTTGCTGAAAATGTCCTCCAGGAACGGCACCCGTCCGCCCAGGCCAAAGGCATGCAGCGTGAGGCCTTTGCGGAAAATGTCCCAGCTGGAATCCTTGGCACCGCCAATAAAACGTGGAGAATCTGGAGATGGTTTCTGAGATCTATGGTGATTTATGATGATTTTAGATGATCTATGGTGATTCACGATGATTTGGAAATTTATGATGATTTGGGATCATTTACGACGATGAATTGTGATAAAACCCAGGACGTTGAGATTCATCATGATTTACGACAATGAATTGTGATAAGACCCAGGTTGTTGAAGATTCATCATGATTTAGGACGATGAATTGTGATAAAACCCAGGACGTTGAGATTCATCATGATTTACGACAATGAATTGTGATAAGACCCAGGTTGTTGAAGATTCATCATGATTTACGACGGTGAATTGTGATGATAAAACCCAGGTCTTTGATGATTCATCATGATTTACGACAATGAATTGTGATAAAACCCAGGTCGTTGAAGATACATCATGATTTACGACGATGAATTGTGATGATAAAACCCAGGTCGTTGATGATTCATCATGATTTACGACAATAAATTGTGATAAAACCCAGGTCGTTGAAGATTCATCATGATATACGACGATGAATTGTGATGATAAAACCCAGGTCGTTGATGATTCATCATGATTTACAACAATGAATCAGTAAAACCCAGGTCGTTGAAGATTCATCATGATTTACGACAATGAATTGTGATAAAACCCAGGTCGTTGATGATTCATCATGATTTACGACCATGAATTGTGATACAGTAAAACCCAGGTCGTTGAAGATTCATCATGATTTACGACGATGCATTGTGATGATAAAACCCAGGTCGTTGATGATTCATTATGATTTACGACAATGAATTGTGATACAGTAAAACCCAGGTCGTTGAAAATTCATCATGTTTACGACGATGAATTGTGATGATTTAACCCAGGTCGTTGATGATTCATCATGATTTACGACGATGAATTGTGATAAAACCATCCCCCATCGAATTTTAGGGGAGACGTTGTGACCCCTGGTCTGTAAGGCAAAAAAAAGATTCACAAGCTTGGGGCTATAGAATGAGGTTGCTGAGCTCCATTTTTCTCGAAAATAGCCTTAGCTACAAAATGCCCCTTCGTTTCAACAACCTTGACATAGGGGGAGGTTTTCCCTTGTTACAAAATGCCCCTTCGATTTCAACAACTGTATCATACAAGGACATACCCTTTGCTGCAAAATGCCAATCTCATTTTCAAGGACTGCATATGCAAAGGAACATCGTTGCTACAAAATGCAACGTTGTTTTCAACATCATCCACCAAGATTCATCAAGCATCATCATTCATCACAGATCAATATAGATCAATACAGATCAATACAGATCATGCATATTCATGCATCATCATGCAGAATTGTTCTGTTTGAATCTGCTTGGTCCTTTTCATTGTATTGCGGCAGCTCTGCAACGGATTGCTTGAACCACATCTAAGCTACAAAAGGCCCGTTTGATTTTTATAAGCCAGTATGAAGCTCATCATGTCATGCTACAAAATGCCACTGCGGTTTTCATGATGGGCTAACATGACTAAAATGACTCCTTTATAAAATGATATTCACAAGTTTAAGCTACAAAATCTTGGACCTGGATTTCATCTCAGGGTTAGCCTGACTAAAATGGAAGCCTCTGTATAGTGCTTGTGGCCACCAACTCTGTAGCTTGAATTTGCTGGGGGATATAAAACCCACGTTGTTAATGATTCATCATGGTTTACGACGATGAATTGTGATGATAAAACCCAGGTTGTTAATGATTCATCATGATTTACGACGATGAATTGTGATAGATTTACGACGATGAATTGTGATAAAACCCAGGACGTTGATGATTCATCATGATTTACGACAATGAATTGTGATAAAACCCAGGTCGTTGAAGATTCATCATGATATACGACGATGAATTGTGATGATAAAACCCAGGACGTTGATGATTCATCATGATTTACGACAATGAATTGTGATACAGTAAAACCCAGGTCGTTGAAGATTCATCATGATTTACGACAATGAATTGTGATAATACCCAGGTCGTTGATGATTCATCATGATTTACTAGCACATAAGACGCTGAGGGGGATTGTCATTGTCTGTGATGGTTTGTTTGTGATGGTTTGTTTGTGATGATCTGCGATTGCTTCAGCGACCTCAATCTTCCCGCAAGATTTCCCCGTGAATGTTTACTTGGTTTGATTCCAACGGTATTTCGATGTGTCCAACAGTGCTGCGCTACCCGAGAGATGTTTGGGTGTGAAGGAAGCAGCAAAACAAAATTGATTCACAATTCGGATTTGTACAAAATTTTGTCTTGCTAATGCTGCTGAAATCATCCTCAAAACTCACTGGGAAACTTAGCCTTCATCATCACCCAGTGAAATTTCACACGAAACCTGCAAGAAATGCATGTGCAAAGTGCTTTTCAGATTGGATTTCAGGAAGTCAAATTGTGAAATTTTAATCATCAGCTCCTTGACTGTTGTTATGCTCATCATCTTCAAGCCGCAGCTTCGTCAAGAAACTGTCCAGCCTGTCCGCCAATACCCAAAGACATTCAAGTTCACCGAGATAATTCTGGCAAGGAAAGCACCAAAGAAGCGCCGATTTCACCACTGTGCCCGGCATGGTTGGTCAAAGTCGGAAAAAATACTCGGGTTGGCTTCGAATATGTTCCTTGGGTATCCTTGAGTTACATTTGTCAACTGAAGCCCTTTCTGTTTCGTCTATGATAAAGGAGTTGGAAACTTTGACACCCATCCCAAAGGTTGCAGGATGTTGCAGGCCAAGGAATTGGAACAGGACACCAAGTCCCAATGAAATCAAGTGGCGGTTCCAGCGGGTAAATTATGGTTGAACCATGGCGCCATGGCGCATCAACTATCCTATGCAAACATCTCAAAGTTTGGGGTAAACACCCTGGTACCCTGGTCTTCAACCTAGAAAGTGAAGGTAGAATGCTCAATCACCCTGTGTAGCAAGCAGTGCTCATTTTGACCTCATAATTTCGGTCAAAACAGCAACGCTTTCATATTAGAGCCGACCATCTGGTGGATTCTTGGGGTCACCAAGATCAGAAAGTGGCCTCAACAAATCTCACTCTATGTCCATTTGGATATTACTGTCCCAATCTTGACCACCAAAATCATCTCCGAAAATTGGCCAAAGGATGCTAAAGGGACACACAGTACGGTAGTACGCTATAAATCTCCAGATTTGGACACTCCATTGATTATAAATGGGTTAATCATTGTCAATCAGGGCTCCTCTAAAATTCCTCAACCAATCAAGGGATCAGCAAAAAATCCTCAACCAGTTGCGCCTCTGTCTCACTCCAGCAATATGATCAGGCGTGTTCTTGGTGTCGTTCCACACACCGATCCGTTCCAAGTACTCTGAGAAACTGCGGGAGTTGTCGACATGCTGCTTGGTTAACCTTAGGGGGGAAGATAGTTTGGAGGGATGGGACTGGGACCGTTTGTAACGTTTATATCTACGTCATTCTACATGTAAATGTGTATATATAAGTATATGCACAGAGAGAGAGAGAGATAGCTAGCTAGCTAGATAGATAGATAGATAGAAAGAAAGATAGATAGATAGATAGATAGATAGGTAGATAGATAGATAGATAGATACATACACATATACCTGAGAAGGGGGAACGAAAGCCAGCATCACATCTGCCCCTATTTTCCCCCAATCATTTCTCACCCACAGACTTTTCCCCCATTCACCCATGTACTTTTCACCCAGAGACTGTTCACCCAGAAACTCTTCTTGCACATACTTTTCACCCATATACTTTTCACCCAGAGACTCTTCACCCAGAAACTCTTCTTGCACATACTTTTCACCCATATACTTTTCATCCAAAGACTCTTCACCCAGAAACTCTTCTTGCACATAGTTTTCTTCACCCAGAACTCTTCTTGCACAGACTTTTCACCCAGAGACTCTTCACCCAGAAACTCTTCTTGCACAGACTTTTCACCCAGAGACTCTTCACCCAGAAACTCTCATACTTTTCACCCAGAGACCCTTCACCCAGAAACTCTTCTTGCACATAAAGCTCACCCAGAGACTCTTGACCCAGAAACTCTTCTTGCACATGCTCTTCGCCCATATACTTTCACCCAAAGACTCTTCACCCAGAAACTCTTCTTGCACATACTTTTCAACCATATACTTTTCACCCAGAAACTCTTCTTGCACATACTTTTCACCCAGCGACTCTTCACCCAGAAACTCTACTTGCACTAAATGTTCACCCATATACTTTTCACCCAGAGACTCTTCACCCAGAAACCCTTCTTGCACCTCTCTTCACCAATATACTTTTCACCCACAGATTCTTCGCCCAGAAACTTTTCTTGCATACTTTTCAACCATATACTTTTCACCCAGAGACTCTTCACCCAGAAACTCTTCTTGCACAGACTTTTCACCCAGAGATTCTTCACCCAGAAACCCTTCTTGCACATACTTTTCACCCATATACTTTTCACCCAGAGACTCTTCACCCAGAACTCTTCTTGCACAGACTTTTCACCCAGAGACTTTTAACCCAGAGACTCTTCCCCAGAAACTCTTCTTGCACATACTTTTCACTCATATGCTTTTCACCCAGAGACTCTGCAGCCAGAAACTCTTCTAGCACAGACTTTTCACCCAGAGACTCTTCACCCAGAAACTCTTCACCCAGAAACTCTTCTTGCACATACTTTTCACCAGAGACTCTTCACCCAGAAACTCTTCTTGCCCATACTTTTCACCCACATACCTTTCACCCAGAGACTCTTCACCCAGAAACCCTTCTTGCACATACTCTTCACCGATATACTTTTCACCCACAGACTCTTCACCCAGAAACCCTTCTTGCACATACTTTTCAACCATATACTTTTCACCCCGAGATTCTTCACCCAGAAACTCTTCTTGCACATACTTTTCACTCATATACTTTTCACCGGGAGACTCTGCACCCAGAAACCCTTCTTGCACATACTTTTCACCCATATACTTTTCACCCAGAAACTCTTCTTGCACATACTTTTCACCCATATACTGTTCACCCACAGACTCTTCACCCAGAAACTCTTCTTGCACGTACTTTTCACCCAGAGACTCTTCACCCAGAAACTCTTCTTGCACATACTTTTCAACCATATACTTTTCATCCAAAGACTCTTCACCCAGAAACTCTTCTTGCACATACTTTTCTTCACCCAGAACTCTTCTTGCACAGACTTTTCACAAGGAGACTCTTCACCCTGAAACTCTTCTTGCACATACTTTTCACCCATATACTTTTCACCCACAGACTCTTCACCCAGAAACTCGTCCTGCAGAGACTTTTCACCCAGAGACTCTTCACCCAGAAACTCTTCTTGCACATACTTTTCTTCACCCTGAAACTCGTCTTGCACATACTTTTCACCCAGAGACGCTTCACCCAGAAACTCCTCTTGCACAAACTTTTCACCCAGGGACTCTTCACCCAGAAACCCTTTTTGCACATACTCTTCACCGATTTACCTTTCACCCACAGACTCTTCACCCAGAAACTCTTCTTGCACATACTTTTCAACCATATACTTTTCACCTAAGACTCTTCAGCCAGAAACCCTTCTTGATCATACTTTTCGCCCATTTACTTTTCACCCAGAGATTCTTCACCCAGAAACTCTTCTTGCACATACTTTCCACCCATATACTTTTCACCCAGAAACTCTTCTTGCACATACTTTTCACCCATAGACTTTTCACCGAGAGACTCTGCACCCCGAAACTCTTCTTGCACATACTTTTCACCCATATACTTTTCACCCAGAGACTCTGCACCCAGAAACTCTTCTTGCACATACTTTTCACCCACATACTTTTCACCCAGAGACTCTTCACCCAGAAACTCTTCTTGCACAGACTTTTCAGTCAGAAATTCTTCTTGCACATACTTCCCACCCATATACTTTTCACCCACAGACTCTTCACCCACAGACTCTTCACCCAGAAACTCTTCTTGCACATACTTTTCACCCAGAGACTCTTCACCCAGAAACCCTTCTTGCACATACTTTTCACCCATATACTTTTTACCCAGAGACTCTTTACCCAGAAACTCTTCTTGCACATACTTTTCACTCAAATACTTTTCACCAAGAGACTCTTCACCCAGAAACTCTTCTTGCACATACTTTTCACCCATATACTTTTCACCCAGAAACTCTTCTTGCACAGACTTTTCACCCATATACCTTTCAACCACAGACTCGTCACCCAGAAACTCTTCTTGCACAGACTTTTCACCCAGAGACTCTTCAGCCAGAAACTCTTCTTGCACATACTTTTCACCCATGCACTTTTCACCCACAGGCTCTTCACCCAGAAACTCTTCTTGCACATACTTTTCACCCAGAGACTCTTGACCCAGAAACTCTTCTTTCACATGCTTTTTACCCATATACTTTTCACCCAGAGACTCGTCACCCAGAAACGCTTCTTGCACATACTTTTCAACCATATACTTTTCACCCAGAAACTCTTCTTGCACATACTTTTCACCCAGCGACTCTTCACCCAGAAACTCTACTTGCACTAAATGTTCACCCATATACTTTTCACCCAGAGACTCTTCACCCAGAAACTCTTCTTGCACATACTTTTCACCCATATACTGTTCACCCAGAGACTCTTCACCCAGAAACTCTTCTTGCACATACTTTTCACCCATATACTGTTCACCCAGAGACTCTTCACCCAGAAACTCTTCTTGCACATACTTTTCACCCAGAGACTCTTCACCCAGAAACTCTTCTTGCACATACTTTTCAACCATATACTTTTCACCCAGAGACTCTTCACCCAGAAACTCTTCTTGCACATACTTTTCAACCATATACTTTTCACCCACAGATTCTTCACCCAGAAACTCTTCTTGCAATTTCTTGCACATACTTTTCACCCATATACTTTTCATCCAAAGACTCTTCACCCAGAAACTCTTCTTGCACATACTTTTCTTCACCCAGAACTCTTCTTGCACAGACTTTTCACAAGGAGACTCTTCACCCTGAAACTCTTCTTGCACATACTTTTCACCCATATACTTTTCACCCACAGACTCTTCACCCAGAAACTCGTCCTGCAGAGACTTTTCACCCAGAGACTCTTCACCCAGAAACTCTTCTTGCACATACTTTTCTTCACCCTGAAGCTCGTCTTGCACATACTTTTCTTCACCCTGAAGCTCGTCTTGCACATACTTTTCACCCGTATACTTTTCACCCAGAGACGCTTCACCCAGAAACTCCTCTTGCACAAACTTTTCACCCAGGGACTCTTCACCCAGAAACCCTTTTTGCACATACTCTTCACCGATTTACCTTTCACCCACAGACTCTTCACCCAGAAACTCTTCTTGCACATACTTTTCACCCATATACTTTTCACCTAAGACTCTTCAGCCAGAAACCCTTCTTGATCATACTTTTCGCCCATTTACTTTTCACCCAGAGATTCTTCACCCAGAAACTCTTCTTGCACATACTTTTCAACCATATACTTTTCACCCCGAGATTCTTCACCCAGAAACTCTTCTTGCACATACTTTTCACTCATATACTTTTCACCGGGAGACTCTGCACCCAGAAACTCTTCTTGCACATACTTTTCACCCATATACTTTTCACCCAGAAACTCTTCTTGCACATACTTTTCACCCATAGACTTTTCACCGAGAGACTCTGCACCCCGAAACTCTTCTTGCACATACTTTTCACCCATATACTTTTCACCCAGAGACTCTTCACCCAGAAACTCTTTTTGCACATACTTTTCACCCACATACTTTTCACCCAGAGACTCTTCACCCAGAAACTCTTCTTGCACAGACTTTTCAGTCAGAAATTCTTCTTGCACATACTTCTCACCCATATACTTCTCACCCACAGACTCTTGACCCACAGACTCTTCACCCAGAAACTCTTCTTGCACATACTTTTCACCCAGAGACTCTTCACCCAGAAACCCTTCTTGCACATACTTTTCACCCATATACTTTTTACCCAGAGACTCTTTACCCAGAAATTCTTCTTGCACATACTTTTCACTCAAATACTTTTCACCAAGAGACTCTTCACCCAGAAACGCTTCTTGCACAAACTTTTCAACCATATACTTTTCACCCAGAAACTCTTCTTGCACATACTTTTCACCCAGCGACTCTTCACCCAGAAACTCTACTTGCACTAAATGTTCACCCATATACTTTTCACCCAGAGACTCTTCACCCAGAAACTCTTCTTGCACATACTTTTCACCCAGAGACTCTTGACCCAGAAACTCTTCTTTCACATGCTTTTCACCCATATACTTTTCACCCAGAGACTCGTCACCCAGAAACGCTTCTTGCACATACTTTTCAACCATATACTTTTCACCCAGAAACTCTTCTTGCACATACTTTTCACCCAGGGACTCTTCACCCAAAAACTCTACTTGCACATAATTTTCACCCATATACTTTTCACCCAGAGACTCTTCACCCAGAAACTCTTCTTGCACATACGTTTCACCCAGAAACCCTTCTTGCGCATACTTTTCACCCAGAGACTCTTCACCCAGAGACTCTTCACCCAGAAACTCTTCTTGCACATACTTTTCACCCAGAGACTTTTAACCCAGAGACTCTTCCCCAGAAACTTTTCTTGCACATACTTTTCACTCATATGCTTTTCACCCAGAGACTCTGCAGCCAGAAACTCTTCTAGCACAGCCTTTTCACCCAGAGACTCTTCACCCAGCTACTCTTCACCCAGAAACTCTTCTTGCACATACTTTTCACCCGAGACTCTTCACCTAGAAACTCTTCTTGCACATACTTTTCACCCATATACTTTTCACCCAGAGACTCTTCACCCAGAAACTCTTCTTGCACACACTTTTCACCCAGAAATTCGTCTTGCACATATTTTTCACGCATGCACTTTTCACCCACAGACTCTTCACCCAGAAACTCTTCTTGCACATACTGTTCACGCAGAGACTCTGCACCCACAAACTCTACTTGCACATAATTTTCACCCATATACTTTCCACCCAGAGACTCTTCACCCAGAAACTCTTCTGGCACATACTTTTCACCCATATAATTTTCTTTTAACCCAGAAACTCTTCTTGCACACACTTTTCACCCAGAGACTCTTCACCCAGAAACTCTTCTTGCACATACTTTTCACCCATTACACCCAGACTCTTCACCCAGAAACTCTTCTTGCACATACTTTTCACCCATATACTTTTCACCCAGAGACTCTTCACCCAGAAACTCTTCTTATACTTTTCACCCAGAGACTTTCACCCAGAGACTCTTCTTCACCCATACTTCTTGCACCTCTTATACTTTTCACCCACTCTTCGCCCAGACTCTTGCATACTCTTTTCACCCACCCAGAAACTCTTCTTGCACACATTTCACCCATATACTTTTCACCCAGAAACTCTTCTTGCACATACTTTTCACCCATAGACTTTTCACCGAGAGACTCTGCACCCCGAAACTCTTCTTGCACATACTTTTCACCCATATACTTTTCACCCAGAGACTCTTCACCCAGAAACTCTTTTTGCACATACTTTTCACCCACATACTTTTCACCCAGAGACTCTTCACCCAGAAACTCTTCTTGCACAGACTTTTCAGTCAGAAATTCTTCTTGCACATACTTCTCACCCATATACTTCTCACCCACAGACTCTTGACCCACAGACTCTTCACCCAGAAACTCTTCTTGCACATACTTTTCACCCAGAGACTCTTCACCCAGAAACCCTTCTTGCACATACTTTTCACCCATATACTTTTTACCCAGAGACTCTTTACCCAGAAATTCTTCTTGCACATACTTTTCACTCAAATACTTTTCACCAAGAGACTCTTCACCCAGAAACGCTTCTTGCACAAACTTTTCAACCATATACTTTTCACCCAGAAACTCTTCTTGCACATACTTTTCACCCAGCGACTCTTCACCCAGAAACTCTACTTGCACTAAATGTTCACCCATATACTTTTCACCCAGAGACTCTTCACCCAGAAACTCTTCTTGCACATACTTTTCACCCAGAGACTCTTGACCCAGAAACTCTTCTTTCACATGCTTTTCACCCATATACTTTTCACCCAGAGACTCGTCACCCAGAAACGCTTCTTGCACATACTTTTCAACCATATACTTTTCACCCAGAAACTCTTCTTGCACATACTTTTCACCCAGGGACTCTTCACCCAAAAACTCTACTTGCACATAATTTTCACCCATATACTTTTCACCCAGAGACTCTTCACCCAGAAACTCTTCTTGCACATACGTTTCACCCAGAAACCCTTCTTGCGCATACTTTTCACCCAGAGACTCTTCACCCAGAGACTCTTCACCCAGAAACTCTTCTTGCACATACTTTTCACCCAGAGACTTTTAACCCAGAGACTCTTCCCCAGAAACTTTTCTTGCACATACTTTTCACTCATATGCTTTTCACCCAGAGACTCTGCAGCCAGAAACTCTTCTAGCACAGCCTTTTCACCCAGAGACTCTTCACCCAGCTACTCTTCACCCAGAAACTCTTCTTGCACATACTTTTCACCCGAGACTCTTCACCTAGAAACTCTTCTTGCACATACTTTTCACCCATATACTTTTCACCCAGAGACTCTTCACCCAGAAACTCTTCTTGCACACACTTTTCACCCAGAAATTCGTCTTGCACATATTTTTCACGCATGCACTTTTCACCCACAGACTCTTCACCCAGAAACTCTTCTTGCACATACTGTTCACGCAGAGACTCTGCACCCAGAAACTCTACTTGCACATAATTTTCGCCCATATACTTTCCACCCAGAGACTCTTCACCCAGAAACTCTTCTGGCACATACTTTTCACCCATATAATTTTCTTTTAACCCAGAAACTCTTCTTGCACACACTTTTCACCCAGAGACTCTTCACCCAGAAACTCTTCTTGCACATACTTTTCACCCAGACTCTTCACCCAGAAACTCTTCTTGCACATACTTTTCACCCATATACTTTTCACCCAGAGACTCTTCACCCAGAAACTCTTCTTGCACAGACTTTTCACCCAGAGACTCTTCACCCAGAAACTCCTCTTGCACAGACTTTTCACCCAGAGACTCTTCACCCAGAAACCCTTCTTGCACCTCTCTTCACCAATATACTTTTCACCCACAGATTCTTCGCCCAGAAACTTTTCTTGCATACTTTTCAACCATATACTTTTCACCCAGAGACTCTTCACCCAGAAACTCTTCTTGCACAGACTTTTCACCCAGAGATTCTTCACCCAGAAACTCTTCTTGCACATACTTTTCACCCATATACTTTTCACCCAGAGACTCTTCACCCAGAACTCTTCTTGCACAGACTTTTCACCCAGAGACTCTTCACCCAGAAACTCTTCTTGCACATACTTTTCAACCATATACTTCTCACCCACAGACTTTTCCCCATATAAATTTCACCCATATACTTTTCACCCAGAGACACCCAGAAGCTCTTCTTGCACAGATTTTGCACCCTCAGACTTTTTACCCGTACCTGTTCCACCCACATACTTTTGACCCATGGACCCAGAAAACAACCGGACCTAGGGGGAATCGATACCCACCGTCACTGTTTTGCCGCATGGTACATTACCCTGAAAAAGTATATTTTCGCTCACCTAAAGCACCACCTATTTACGCCGTTCGGTCCCTTGAGGCAGCTACCTATTCTCACTTCGTTCGCAAATAACAACTAGCCAGCTTCCCGGCTGGCTTTCGTAATATTTTTCTTTATTTATATATATATACATATGACACAACTTGCCTGCATGTTCCTTTTTTGTCACACTTGTCCTTGCTTTGCAACCGTTCGCCACTCCTTCCTCGGCATCACTCCTCATCCCCTTGCAAACCGTCTTGCTCCGAACCCCAACGGACGCTGCTCTCCGTTGAGCTTCGGATCCTTATTTTTTTCAATATGCTTGCCTCTATGTTCCGAGCTTTTTCAAAGCTTTGCCTTGCCTCCATTTCATGCCTTTTTTTCAAACCTTTTCCTGCGTTCCTACGGTTTTTCCAGAGTTTCCTTCCTGCAATTTCCTCATTTTCCCAATGGTTTCCTCGATTTCCTTGGTTTTTCCGAGCTTGCCATTCATTTTTTCCTCCAGTTTAATGTTTTCACAATTTTCCTCCATGTTCCTCCATTTCCCCCCTGCTTTTAACGATTTTCCTTCATTTTCTCTGGTTTTTTCCTACCTTTTTCCTTCCGTTTTCAAGGGGCCTAGGAAGAATCGAACCCCACCGTCACCAGTGGCACATGCCCCCTAAAAAATTCCAATTGGCCACCCTAATCACCACCCAATATCGAGATTTTGGTCCACCTGGGCAACCTCCACCCCCCACACCCCCTATACTCACTTCGTTCGCGAAAACAACTTTGCCTAGCCTATCGGCTGGCTTTCGTAAAAATAGTGATGCACCAAATCCAACGCTTCGAATGCTCCACTGCCCGACTCAGCCCAGGGCCTTGCTACCTTGCCATCAAGCGGCTCAGCTTCGCTCAAGGCCTCCACATATTTCCCTTGAGCCTCGAGCCCGGTGTAGATCAGCTCCTTGATGGCTGGGGATGCATCCCAGGAATCGCAAGTGAATAAACAATTCTTATTTATGTATGTGTATATAATACTCTATATATCTATCTATCTATCTGTCTATCTATCTATCTATCTATCTGTCTGTCTGTCTGTCTATCTATCTATCTGTCTGTCTATCTATCTATCTGTCTGTCTATCTATCTCTCTGTCTATCTATCTATCTATCTATCTATCTGTCTGTCTGTCTGTCTGTCTGTCTATCTAAACTATCTAAACTATCTCATCTATCTAATCTATCAATACAATACCCACCCCCCAATCATTTAACATTAGCGCCTTTGGGTTGCATTGAAACATAGTTTTGGGGGAATCCCCTATTTATCCCATTCTATGAACCCCCCCTATATCCATTCATTGCCATTCATCATCAACAATCCTAGTTCCGGCTTAAACCTTCCATTTCTATCCATTTCTATCCATGAAATTCAGAGGTATGAGTCTGAGTATTGAGTATTGCGATATCAACCACGACCACATCCACAGGGAAGTGGATGGTGCCTTCCTCACCTATCCAAAATCAATTATCTCTGGAATTTTCTGGAAACATCCATGGTGCAGGCAGTGACACAGCCAGGCTTCAAAGCAACCGTCTGGCTGCAGTGAAAAGTCCTGGCTGCTCAACTGCCATCCATCTTCACGGCATTTCACGGCTTGCCGGGTAGAGTCTTCCATCAACATGGCGACAAATGAATCCAGAAAACAAATAAACACCAAACTAGGGTTTACCCAGAGTTTGTAGGTCTAAGTTGTGAAGTCTCTGTGTCTTTGTGAACCGAATCATCGACGCTGTCAACAGTCAACGATTCCTGGCACGCAGATGAATGCAATATGCAAATCAATAAATGGTACCTAAATATGCTTTAATTATGCAATATGCAAATAACTAATTCAACGAATCAGTGAGAGACAGCGGTTCCTTTTAGTGATTCGCGCTCCGCCTGATCTGCAAAGCCAACGATCCAGTCCACCTCCCCCGAACTGGGTGCCTCCGACTCACCGTTCTGGAAATTCACGCCCACTTGCGTTGTGCCTGGGAGCTTGCACGGCCTGTTTAACTCTGAGCTATTGTGGCCTCTTCCCGCACCCTGCCGGGAACTCTCCCTCTTCGGGGGTTTTAGGAACAGCTGGGTTTCGTGAAGTGTGTGATTTCCTGCTGGATTTTGGGAGATCAACAGTATCTGCCGCAAGTGACCAACATCTGTGGTTTCGATATGTTTCGATCATTGTCATTTTCCACTCATACGCACCCAGCAGCATGCTGCAGCCCAGAAACCGGTCGACATGATCTTGCCCACTCTGTCCTCAGCCCCGCTGCCATGAGCATCACCGTTCATCAGGTCATCGGGGAGTTGTCTTCGACAGCTGCTTGCACCTTGTGCTATTACCTTTTTGCTCTGGCGACCTGTATAGATTGTATAGATGATTTGTCACTTGAGGTGAAAACGGGGTCACAAACGCAAAAAAAGGCTCAGAGAGACCTTACGCATATTTACGTTATTTGAGCGTATTTATACATGACGTTTCAGATTAGTTACCCATCGATATGCCAAGACTCCCGCTGATCTCTCACTTCAGCGAAACCAGTGACTGAATCCTTACAAACCTCAGCGTAGAGGCCATGCTGTGCAGTTGATACACGATCATCTTTGGGAAGCACCCGCTGGGCCTGCTGCTGGGACACCCTGGGATCTGGCGCTGAGAAGGATGGGAAGCGATTTTTGCCTTCAAAGACCCGCATGCTCAGTGGAGACTTTGCCACTGGGTACCTTGGATCTGCGATCTGCCCATGTCAGATCCCCCCAAAATCACTGCTATCAGTCAAAAAAATACCTTCACCAATCCCAGAATGTCCAGACTCTGACTCTGCAAGACTCCAAGGGCACGAACTCTGTCAATACTAATAAGGCAAAGCCAGGAATTCACGGGGAGTTGTGCATGTTTCGGGGGCGGTGTCAATCCAATGTCACTTCCTCCAAGGCACGGTGTCTTCAGATCTTCCGTCTGCCACTTCAACGCCTCTGTTACTTGGGTCAGCCGCGTGGAGCGAGACGCTGCCGGATGGTTGTAAAACCAAGGATTTTTCGTGGATCATGGATTGCCCTAAGTGGGTGAATGCAGATCATGCAAACTAGACATATCGACAAACCAAGAAGCTTCACGTCTCGAGATGAATGACGGACTTTGGCATAGGTTCCGAATTCAAGACATTTCCACAGGAAATTGTCCCTACATGTCCCTACCATCCTTTGCGATGTAGGTTTCAATGTGGTCCAATAGGGAATGACAGGCGCCTTCTCGTCTACGACACCATTCCAGATCCACATGAGAATGTAGAGGTAGAATGGCAAGGCGTGATACCTTGCTTCACGTCACAGGCGTGGGGTGGTTCTAGGATTGCTTCACAGTCAAAGAAGGGGAAGTAACATGAAGCAACCAATCACCCTCAGAGATGTCTCAAGTCTCAACATGTTTCAAACATATCAACTGATATCAACTGGTTCCTCCCAGTATGCCGCCCATTGCAATGGGTTTTTAAGCTTCTTCAACATGACCACGATCCCTCATGGCTGTGACAGGATCCAGCATGGATGTTACATTCCAGTGATGCTCAGTTTCGATCGTCCAACCTCACCCGCACCAGGCGTGGCACAATACGACCTGCTCCATGTGCTGCTTCTCGACCTGATGGCAACTGGACTCTGTGTAGACACGTGCAGACCTTGCGAGGCACCCACAAAGATAGTGAAAAGTACCAACATGTTTGTGCCAAAACACAACTTCTATATTCTATAGACTTTCTATAGGTGATTGTAGGTATGCTGTAGGCACACAGCACCACAAGAAGCAACCAAAGGGTTCACTTTGGTTCACTTCTCAAGCTGCTTCCAGGCCGCTGCGACAATGCCGTCCAAAATCCCGGAATCTTCCTGGTCCAACTTTTCAACGGCCTCTTTGTGCCTTTGGATCCTGAGGCTCTCAACTTGAGGCGTCTGTGGTTGGGAGATCGATACAGCGATGACCCCGTTCTCTTTGTGAATTCAATGGTCTTAGCGCTTCAACCCTTCAATCTGCTACTTCTACTCTAGACATCTTGAGATGTCAGATGAGATATCTCAAGATATTTCAAGATATCAAAATATCTCAAGATCTTGTCAGTGAGGAGTGAGGGAGCCCAAACATCCGCCGGAAATATCGAGCGGCTCCAGGTAGGGCCCAATCTCTGCACACAGCACAGATGCGAAGCTTGTAACGATGATCCACAGCGCCAACAGCGCCATGGCTGGCTTGGATGACTTGGGATAGAGGGTGCAACAGTCACTGGGTCACTGGGGCAACTGGTAGGGGGTTTGGGGTAACAAGCGAATCAAACTCAAATCGATCTGCCGGCGGCCAGTCTGATACTGGTAAATACACTCTGCCAAACCAAGTCTTGCTCGTATGTGCTTATTTTAATCTTTTTGCATAGAACTTGACCCGCACTGCTACACTCTATGGGCCGTGGATGCCTCCTCCAAAATGGCTCCCATGTTCCACTCAGCGCTGAATTGTTTCGAGTGGTTCTCGCACATTTGGATTCCCGCAACATCCCGCAACTGTTTTGATGCCCTGTAAAGCAAGTGCAATTGCCATTTGACCAAGGCATTGGTAGCTGGTAGTTCCTATAAAGTAGGCTCCACATGCATCGAAACATCCTCCAAATCCCAACCTGCCAGGTTTTTGGGTGTCGGATTCTCAGTCCCAACATGTGCCAACTCACAGTTCCCCCATCAAAATGACCAAAGATTATCAAAGATTGCAGGTGCTGCCGCCATTGTTTCTTCAGTCTCTTGCTAGCTCCGCAGCTCCAGCGAAAGATCCTGAGTTTGCGAAACTCGATGGCTGTAGATGACTGTGCTTTCTTAAATAATTCTGACCGCCCCCCCTCAAAAAAAGAAACGATGCGGTTCCAAGGATTTTCAGTTCCCAGGCTTACCCTCAACCTGTATCTCCAAAACTGCGAGCGAGCTAGCTGAAGATTCTCCACCCCTGTCTTGATTCCAGCTGAGCATCTTAGCCCCTCGTCCCAAAAAGGTGCAGATGCACCTCGGAGGAGTGGTGGATGTGGTGGGGTTGGGGAGTGCAGTTGTGGGTGATGCTGGAGGCACCCCCTCGTGGCTTCAACAGCTCAAGCTTTGTGGGCTGTTCGTCATTGGAAAAGCATGGAAACGCTAACCGCTAACAAGAATGGAAATGGGGTGTGAGGCGTGAAGTGTACTCTTATATGAATTTATGACTCAAAGTTTGTTGGAATCAGCATATGGATACTAGTGATACTATACATAAGGTGATTTAAGTCCACTGAAAGTGGGATCTGTTTGGTACAGTGAGGTGACACATATTGTTCGGCTTTGAGGCCAAAGAGTGCTGTGAGTTTGATAGCTTGCCTCATGCAGCTTGGATGGAGATGGAACTTGGGCAACTCGGGTGGTGGCTGTGGGGCCTCAAAATTGAACCCTCTTGTGGGGTAAAATGTCGATGTTGCCGCTGCAAATCCCATTCTTTTTGCGAAACATTGGATGGGTTAGATCGTCAAACTCACCAGCCATTTCTAGGTCTGCAGCCATCCCATGATCAGAGCCACCCACCCCAGGAATCAATGCAGTCCTCAGGTGAGTCGAATACACCAGAAAATGTGGGAAAACTACGGGAAACATCATAGGATCATCCATAGGAAAATCCATGAACATCCATGAACATCTATGAACATCCATGAACATCTACAGGAAAAATATTGAACAAATCATGGTTTCTTATAGTTAAGACGGAACGTCTGGGGGCTTCCCGCTGCCCCTTCAACCAATTCTGGGACGAATGGGACCTGGTATGAGCCACCAAGAGATGAACCACCACAAATTGGGGTACATGAACGACTAAACATGGGTATGTTGATACAATTCAATGCCTCACCCATTTCTCCACATTCTGCAGGAGTCTCGACACGGTCATTTGACCAAAAATGTCTGAAAACACCCCAGGAAGCAGCAGGGTGGCGCAGGTTTTGGGGAAGCTTGAGAATGGTAACGGCAAGTCATTGTTGAGAGTCAACAATTCAATGCCTCACCCATTTCTCCACATTCTGCAGGAGTCTCGACACGGTCATTTGACCAAAAATGTCTGAAAACACCCATCATCTTCAAAGAGGCTACCACACACTCACCCATTTGATACAAGCTTGTCGGCTGCTTCCTGGCAGAAAATTGGCCAAACACTTGAAGGAATCTGCATTCTATTCAGGCACTGTACCTGTTCCATCATCATGGAAAAAGAGCCGCTCCGTTTGTGATCTGATGTTTCGATGCTTGAGGCAGATTGGGGATGAATTGTACGGCAGGGGTCTTGCACATAGATTTCGATCACCTTATTGGTGGTCCACCCTCCAGCTCTGAGACTTCCCAAATCTAAACCAAAAGCCACATCCAGCACTGACATCAATTGAGGCTGGTCGATCTTTTCTACTTGGTGTCGGGCCACACGACACTTGGTCTTTGGCTCGTCGCTCTCTTTTATCCAAACCCAGTAGAAAACAGTTGCAACCAAGCCTAGAAACGCCTGCTGTAGCAATCTACGCACGCAAAGTCGAAGGCTCCCAACTCCATTGATTGTTTCTGCATAGCGATTGTAGAGCCTCTCTGACAAGAAAAGTGACCTGCCATACCTTTCCAGTTGAAAGTTCAAAAGCTCAATATCTATTTCTGCAGTCCCAATCAATGGTTCCAGTGAGAGACCATCTTCCCTAAGCCATCTGTTGAACTCATCCAGGAAACGATCTCGTTGGAGCTGTGTTCTTCCCAGGATCGGTCTCCCTTCTGGCAAAACGAAGGAAGACCTCAGGCCAGCCCGTCTCTTGTCGCCAGGGTTCTTTGGGGCAGGCACTGGACCATGGCTGACACACGAACCGACCGGCAAGCAAAGGGAAGATCCGACAAAAATCCAAGACCTCCGACGCACGCACACCAAACAGAAGCCACAACATAGGAGCACGCACCAACCTGCCCACCGCACGAAAAGGAGAGAAATCCATCGGCAAAATCCAGCACAATCCAAAAGGAGGAGACCATAAGCCAAAATCCAGAATGGTCCTTCGCCAGGAAAACCCAAAGTGGAATCGAAGCCCCCAGAGCGGAAATGGCTAGATCGAGAGGCCACGGCTTTCTGGAAGGGATAATGCTTGAAAGCATATTCACCAAACCTCCAACACTCACCGGGACGAAACCAAGGAAAGGATGCCCCCCTCAACAAGACCACAAGTCGAACCCAGTTTGCAGCCGGTCTTGAGAGCATGGAAATCTCTGCAAAATCCAAAAGTTCCTCAAGGCACGGCGAAGAGGACAGAGAACTCAGCAGGGGGGGCGGCAAGGCGTTATCTCTAGTTGGGTGGTCTGCCGGATTCAAACGTGTTGGGGCAAACTGATATGCGGGATACAGGCGGCCTGCAACTACCGTGGCCCCTGTTTTCCTGACGCAAGGGCGAAGTCCATAAGAAGGGGAACGGCCTTTGGCAAGCGCAGACAGTCCAACGTTCGAGTCCAAGGCAACAACCTGACGGACACCCGGGGAGGTCAAGGCAAGCTTCTTCAACAAGGACAACACCACACGGCTTTCCAAAATGTTGATATGAAGTGGCCTCCTCCAAGTCCAGACAGAGACAGTCCTCCACTGCGCACTGACAAGCACATCATTGCATAAAGGGCTTTCTAAACCTCGGACCTCCGGTTCCAAAAACGTTTCTTTCCGCAACTTCTTGGCAATTGCTTTGCTGAAAACGGCGGCAAGGGCATCTGCTAGGTCATCTGTATAGACGGCTGAAGTCTTGGTGAATTGGCCTGGAACCTTCACATGCACGTGGCTGCGATCACATTTCCGGTGCAGGTTTTGGGCAGCTAAATGGCAAAACAGGAAAATGAACTCCTTGTTGTGAATGCTGCCAAACATACAACTTGCAGTCCAAATCTCCTCAGCCTTGCCTAACTCCACAAGTCTCTGCCACTCTTCAAGACGACGCATCTTGGTACGCCTGGGCTGCTCCAGCAACCCCGGACAGCCCATGTCACTTGCCACATCCAGCAGTGTAAGAGATCTCAATGCCAGGGTGGTACCTGTCAGGGTATGAGGGTCTGTAGGGTCGTAACCTCGAGGACAATCATAGCCCCTTGACGCCGGATGCTGCGCTGGTGAAAAAGTTGTGCATGGAGGTTCAATCATGAAAGCATCAAGCAGGCCTCTCTCAAGCAAATGGATCAACCAGCTGATCACTCGTAAGGAGCGCAAGTCATAAAAGGCCGATCTGTCCAGATCAATGACAGGCCCCACATTCCATCCATGCCTTGAAACTGCAGCAGCAACTTTCCCAGCTCCTCCGCAAATTTCTAGGAAGTGGAAACGCAAAGCCAAAGGCCTCTCGACCGACTGCTTGCTTTCTTCACCAGGCAAAGGAGGCTCCTCAAAGTCAGGGTCCAACTTCTTCAGCAGGGCTTGAGACTGATTCAGCAGCCTGATATAACCACCTTTCTTCCTACCTGATCTCCAGAGGGCGCGGGCAACCTCTTCATTCACTTCCGCAGCAACGATGGCTCCCTTCTTGTCTGAAGAGTCAGTTGCAAAAACAGTGGATGACATCCGGGCCGTCAAATCAGTAGTCATGAAGGGGCATAGCACAGCCAGAAGCACCAACTCTTGGGCTACCGCTCGTGTCAAGGGTACCAGCTTGGGACCATCTCCTCGCACTTCGTCATTCGAGACAAATCCAAAACTGGAGTCCAAAATTGACATCATGGGCCGGCGGAAAAGCAGAGAATGAACCCATCCACCTATCAAACAAAGATGCAGCTGGTCTGTGGTCCAACGCAATTTTGCCAGCTCCAAGGAAACGAAAGCTAAGGCCAAACGCTTTGCTGCAGGTGATGCCAAGGTGGCCATGTTGAGCTCCCTCAAGGCAGCAGACGTGTCCAACTCAGCTCCTGTAACCTTTGCCTTGTCAGCCCCGATGACATCCTTCTCTTCAGAGCCTAAAATCTCCTGATCCGCGTAAGCTTTTGCCGCTGTGAGAAACTGTGCATGGGAGGCAGAGGACACATGGCTGACATTCACGTTCTGCACAGACACCGTGTAAAAGTCATCAATCACCAAACCCGAGGCAACCTTCTTTCCACGAAACAACCTGTCGGACCTCAGCTCTTGGTCATCGCAAAGAAGTCCATATGCTTTCAAAAGGTTCCGGTGGGCATCCACTGCAAACTCAACACCCAGGTGGTCGCCCTGAGGAATGCTAGCGAAACAACCCTGGAACCAATCTGGCACCTTTGACTTCTTCTTTTGAAAGCCCAAACCCCCTTTCTCAAAAAGGTCGCCATGCTTCAGTCGATCATAGGCGGACTTCTTCAGATTTCTTTCACACCAAGCCGAAAACGCAAGGGTCTCTTCCAAGTCACTCCTGTGGATCAAGGGCCACAGTGCATTTGATGATGCCCGCTCTCTGCTCACCTTGAACTGATGATAGAAGTCTTTTCTATCTGAGATGTAGATACTGACCTTCTCTGAATTGGGCTTCAACTCCAAATTTGCCAAAAGGAGGGCTGAGGGCAAACAACGCGAAGCGCCTGGGATGGTGCCCTCCACAAAGTTCATAGCTCTTCTATCCCCTATCATGCGGTCTGCACTGGCATTCTTATGGCAATTGAAGAAACGCATCGAGAGGTCTGTCTCATCACATGGCAGCGGCTCATCACGCAGGAAAAGGAGTCCTCTAACATCCCACAACTTCATCAGTCTTCGAACAGCATCGTAGTCTTCCTTCTCAACATCCGGAACATCATACGACCTCTCACTCAAGGTCCATCTGAGTGAAGAAGGTTCACAAAATGCCATCCAAAGTGGATCAGACAAAAACTGTGAAGCATCCCAGGATCCTGAACCTGACAGCCTGAGCCTTTCTGGGTTGAGGCTGCTGTATGGGACAAGCTCAGGGGCCCTAGTCTTATCCACAGGAACATGCATGAAGGCTCCTAGAGGCTCTTGGGAACCCCGGAAACCACGTGAATAGGACGCACCAGCCAAACCCCCCCATGAAACAAAATCTGAAAGGTCGGCAAGCTGGGAAATCAAAGAGGTTGATCTACGGCCACCGGAAGGAATCTCAAAGGCATCCTTACAGCTACCGAAAGCTTTGACCATTCTCCTAATTCCGTCAAGGACATCTGCTTGGGAAGGCGACGGGGTGAGAGCCAAAGAGTCCAAAGGCGGGAACTTGAAATCGGCATGCCAAAAGTTCAAAGCCATTACGGTGATATGAACTGCCTGGTCAAAAGCCTTTCGCCTTCGCTCTCTGGAACCCGCCCTTGCTGAAACTTGAAAAACACCAACCTTCGGCAGAGGGAGAGGGTACAAAACTTTTGCAGGTGCAACTTCGGGCGACCTGGCAATGTGGAGAGTCCGCTTCAGGAAACATGCAAAAGGGGTACAACTGCTTAAGACCTGACGACAAAGCGACGAAGTCCATTGCAAGAAAGAAAAGGTCTGAAGAGAAGACCAATTAGGCAAGGCATCATCGGCCGAAAGTCCATGGGCCCGGCAGGAGAAAGGAAAATCCACATTCCCGGAACTAGGGCAAGACTGGCCTACGAAGGGGACACCTTTGCTTTGGGAGCTAGACTTTGCTATGCTTGTGCTGTCATGCCTCATGTGCTTTCTGATGGGTTTTGCCCTCCTTGGGCTTTTGGCTTCCTTGGATACCTGGGCTGCTTTGGCCTCTTGGCAGGGTCCTCCAAATCCTCCTCCAGCTTTTCTCCTCCTTGCTTCTTGGGGAGGGCCTCGGCACGTCGAGTGCTGAGAAGATCCAACTCCTTGATGTAAGCCAGTGCAGTGGCTCCCCCGTCTGCCGGGCACAAAGGCCCGAAAGCCCTCAGCCTCGGGTTCGTAGCCTGGGGTCTGTGTGCAAAAAGCTGCTGGGGTGGATCTTCCTGCAGGGCCAAAATCCATGCCACCTCCCACTTCCCATTGTCCATGGCACTCTGCTCGATGGCCACCATTGCAAGGGCCAACATCTCCTGAGCACCCTTGAAGTCCTGCACGAGGAATTGGTCTGCCACATGACCCAGGAGCCACATCGTCAATCCCTGGTCCCTCTGAAAGCCAGTGTAGCCTCCCTGCTTCTCTAGGTACTTGGTGAACAGGGCCTTTTGGGGGAAGTCTGCCAGTGCAGGCGGAACCATCTCCGCGGGCTTCAGGCGTCGGTGAGCATTCTGGGCCACCTTCAGAAAGAAATCGCTCTTCCTGGCAGCTAGATCGGCAAGCAAGCGATCCCGGCGGGCGGACCCCTTCAGGGAGATGGTCGAAGATGCTGATGTAGATCCTCCCAAATCTTGAAACCCATCCTGGCTGGCCATGTGGGACACCAAGGTGTTCAGGGCCATCTGTTGTTTGAGTAACATCTGTGCTATGGAAGCCTGCGGGCCCTCCTCCACCAAGGACAAGTCCATCTCCTCCAGGGGTGCAGTAGGCTCGTCTTCTGGCATCTGCTCCTGTTGCTTGGAACGCTGGGGCATCCGAACTTTCGGCGGGGGTCCCACCTGGCGAAGGAATTGGGAAGGGCTCGGCAAGGGCTGCTTGGCACCTGGAGTCAAAAATCCAAACTCCTGACGTTGTGGTGCGGGAGGCTGGATGGGGCGCTGAGCCAGGGACTGCTCCATTTGATCCTGCCTGTGTTGCATAGCTACAAGAGAGGTAGACAGGGCCGGGATTGTCTCTGTCAAGGTGGCAAGCTGCTGAGACAGAGTGGCTGTTGTAATCCTCTTTGGGGGGAGCTGCTTCTGCTTGGCTTTGGCTTGGGTTGCCTTCGCAACTGTGGGTGCTTGCTGAGGGGGCAAATCCTCTGCTGCCGAGTAGAAAGCCACCCTTCCCTCCTGTTCCTCTTGGAACCATGTGTAGGCTGCTGTCAGTAGCTCCGAGGATGAAGGATATATCTCCATTGCGCCTTCCGAGAAACAATGGATCCCTGGGCCTTCTGTCACAGGGTCCAATCCTCGTAACCTGGGCAGCACGGCAGTGAAGTCCACCAAGAGACATGCTATCTGGTAGTCCAAGGGCCTTTCCAAACCAGCATCGTCGTCTGATGCGGCCTGCACGAAGACCTCTTTTGCAGGACCTATCAGGGCTCGAGGCAAGGGAGGCTCTGCTGGATATATCACCTCGGGAGGAAATGAATCCGACGGGATGGCCAAGAGCAGACCGTCTTGCCTGGAGAGTATGGGGATGGCCAACACCTGAACCTCGGGGAGGATGACTCCTGAAGATGGGTTGGACACTTCTGGAAGAAGCAGCACATAGAGAGGGGCAGGACCTTGATCTAGAGTCTTCACCTCTGCAAGAGACCGCAATGGAGGGACAGGATCCATCATTTAGACCTGAGCTCAGGAAAATCAACTCCAGCGGCCAAACAGTACACCTTCCCTTCACAGAGAGAGGCGAAAGAATGGGAGACACTCTCAGGCGTGAACCTGGGGATGATTTGGAAGTATTCCGCAGAGGTTGCCACTCTGGTGGGGGCTGCAAGTCCAGGAGCCCTGAGGATGATATAGGTGACAGGTTTCTTGTCCAGCTTTGGGGTAGGCCTAGGTCGATCAATCTGCCCCTGCAAGGTGGCCTTGGCCCAAAGTCCTGCCTCCCAGGCGCGTTGGGTTCTATGATTTCTCTCCTCAGAGGAACACTGAAGGGCTGAGCAGATCTGGTGGCAAGCAGGAGGAGCAGAAGTGAGAAGCTGAGCAACTTCGTCGTGGCTGGAGGCCCGGGAAACCGAAAGGCTGGAAGAAACACCGGCAGAAGCCCAAGGAGCAGATTCCAAGTCAAAGTCCACAGACAGACCAGGATCCGGGGCCCGGAGGCCAGCAAAAGCAGAGCTTACGGCCTCGGCACCGTTCAATGCAGCCTCAAGTGAGTTGGCAATGGCACGAAGTGAAGACACAGCACTCCTAATCACAGTGATTAGGAGGGTGGGTGCGCTCATGCAGGTAGGCAAGGAGCCTAGCAGAGGAAGTGGGACGAAGAGGTGGGCGAACAAGTGGGACACCAACAGAAGGGCCAAAGGACAAGCAAAAGTAAGATAAAGTCCAAGGCACAAGGTCAGGACCACACCCAAGCACCACCCGAAACCAAACAAGGCCAGCAAGTAGGGGACGGAAGTCGTGCAGTGGGCAGGACAGACCAACCGAACCACGACGAACCCGACCCAACAGCAGGCAGACGGAAACCTCTTCGAACCACCGGGGCATGAAGCTTGAGAATGGTAACGGCAAGTCATTGTTGAGAGTCAAGACGGAACGTCTGGGGGCTTCCCGCAGCCCCTTCAACCAATTCTGGGACGAATGGGACCTGGTATGAGCCACCAAGAGATGAACCACCACAAATTGGGGTACATGAACGACTAAACATGGGTATGTTGATACAATCATTGCTTTCTCCTTCCTGACATCCGCCATATTATATTATATTATATTTGTGGCTGTTGGGATGATGGCCCCAATAGAAGTCGGACGGCAGGACAGCTTGGGTGCCCGGGCCGTAAACCTCCGCAGAGCGTCTGTGCGGAAGCGGTTGGTGTGCAGACTCATCATGTCCTGCATGCTCAAGTGCTGAGAAGTTCAAAGATCGAAGAATACATCTTCACCGGGTTGAGATTCCAGGAAATCATTGTTTTTGCTGGTTACACACACTGGTCTCCACCAAAAGGGCCCTTGAAACAATTCCACGTCCCTGCAAAGCTTTCAGACTCTAGTCACTAGTCTGCATTCTGACGAGGATGCTTGAGGATAAAAAGATTAAGCCACCCGCTGCAAGAAAAAATCAAATCATGGTCTCAACCTGTAACCTCTCCGAACTCTTTGACAAATTGCAGAGAGTGCTATCCGTCGATCAATTGCCATCCCAGGCTCCGTCAAGGGCACGTGGCCCTCAGGCTGGCGCACGTGAGGGGTGAGCATTTACCTCAATCGCAGCCAGCAATAGTTGGCTATCTGGGGAGTGGCGACCCAAAATCAATGGGGTACCAATTGCGCACCAATAAGGTACTACTGTCATGGGATACTAGTAGACCCATAGAGTGGTGTCAATTATCGATGAGTTTCAACTAATGACTAATATCATCTAATATCCAATTCTTGAAGGGTCCGTAATTTTGGGTCATGGCCAAGTTACTGATCTGTGATATGCGCATGAGCGTCTGTAGATTGAAGAACTAGATGCAACTTTTGACTCGTCTTTGTGAGACGGCCATCTGTTTGATCAGGGTGTGTTGAGGGAGAAAGGCGTTCCAATCAACAATTTGGATTGGATGTAATGAATGTCTTCAAGCATGAGCCCCACTTCCATGGGCACACAGAACCCATCCGCGGTTTCCGGTCTAATTCCAGGAAGGCTAACTTGGTGGGCGCGGAATTTTCGGACATGGCTGAACAAAACAATACACCTGTATAAAATTTATTCCCCCCACAAGCATCATCAGGTTTGCCGCATGGCTCAGTTACCGAGCTGCTGAAAGGTTCTGCGACGTCCCGCTAAGCCTTCTTCCGTGCCTGGTGGATTCATCGGTGCGTGGTAAAACCATCAAGATACCCTCTGGTAATCAACCATGGCAATTGGACAGGCCCTAAAGCTTGAGTTTTTAGTTGGAAAATCATTCATAATCGTTGCTGATGGCCCACCCTTTCCGGGGGAGGACCCCTTTGCAACTCCAAATTGCACTGCAATTTTCTATCATTTAGAGCCTTGGCATCGAATTTTCACATTTTTCTCTTGGGAGGCTATTTGCGACAAAGAATATCTTCTATTTGGTTTGTTTCTTGATGTTTCTTGAAACCCTACTTTTTAAAAAGGAAAAAGGATCATCGTGACAAAGAATATATTCTATTTTGTTCTTTGAAACCCTGGTTTTTGACCAACATCACCTCCTTTTGGGAAGGAAAAAAGGAAGATTTGCTACCTACTACTACCTCTGCCTACCACTACCTGCCACTACCTGCCAGCTTCTCCCACTCTCTACCTGCCACTACCTGCCACTACCTGCCACTACCTGCCACTACCTGCCACTTACCTGCCACTTCCCTGCCACTACCTCCACCTGCCACCTGTGTTTCCACCTGCCACTACCTACCACTACCTGCCACCACCTGCCACTACCTGCCACTACCTGCCACTGCCTGCCACTATCTGTTACTACCTGACTACCAGCTACTACCTCTATCTGCCATCACCTGCAACTACCTACCTGCCATATCCTGCCATAACCTATCCCCAGACCCGGTCGCTGAGATTGCCACGGGTCCAAAGGTACAGCAGACAAGGATACCAAACAACCATCAAAATTTCCTCTTGGAAGACACTTTCAAACAAATCCGCCCACACCGCTCTCAATCACATTTGTTAATATAGCAGTCGCTATATCAGCTTTAGCTGGGGGGGCCAAAAACGGTTTCGCACCGAGACCAGAATTCGGTGGTGTTTTCGACATTTTTCGAGGATTTTTGGGTGTCTGAGCGCAAGAGGGTATTGAAATGGAATTTTGGGTCATTTTGGTAGCTTTCCGGCAATGGAAAAACGGCCAAAAATGAAAAAAACATTGTACATAGCAAGATTTTGCAGGGTTTTTGGATGCCAGAGCATTGAAAACACTGCAAAAACAAGTGTTTTGGACTGACGTTATAGCAAAAAACGTGTAAATTACCGTATGCTTGACTGGAAACATTACAAAAACACTGTCAAAAGCAATGTTTTGGAAGGAATTACTGCCTTTATGGCAAAAAACGTGTAAATTACCGTCTGTTTGACTGGAAACATTGGAAAAACACTGTCAAAAACAATGTTTTGGAAGGATTTCTTATATTATATATATATATATGTTGGAGTTGGCTACCGGCATTGGAACATGGAAAAATTGAAGAAAACACTGTAAATAGCGGTATTTTCAACGGTTGGGGAGGAGATAAGGAAATTGGAAGCATTGTCGAACATGATGTTTTCGACCGGTTTTATGGCGACAAAAGTGTAAAGTACCGTGCTTTGAAGGAAACCATTGCAAAAACATGGAAACACATTCAAAGAACACGGGATTTGGAGGACTATCTAGGCGTCGTTGTCTAGCTATTTGAAATTCCGCAGCTTGGAGAGCCTCCAAGGGAGGGAAAAGTGAAAATTCCATAGCTTGGGAAGCTGTCACGGCGGGGAAAAGTGAAAATTCCCTAGCTTGGGAAGCCCCCACGGGGGGGAAAAGTGAAAATTCCCTAGCTTGGGGAGCCCCCACAGGGGGGGGGAAAGTGAAAATTCTTAGCTTGGGAAGCTTCACGGGGGGAAAGTGAAAATTCACGAACCCAGCAGTTATGTATGTCAATTCTCCTGTGCTGCTCTGCTCCTCATATTCCACACCACCCTTAGCCCCTCTCACGGACCGAAATAAACCTGCGGTGTGGGCGGCCACCCCACGCGAAGCGGGGTGAATATATTCTATTTGGTCGTTTTTTGAAAGAATATCTTCTGTCTTTGAGGTACATGTATACGCACTATAATTACCAAATCCTGATGGTCCTCCCACTGAGCATCTAAGCGGCTGGTGCACCTACCAGCACCTCCCAACTGAGCCCGGGGCACATCCGAGCCATGTCCATCTAGATGATGCAAAACGCAACCCCTCCAGGTCCATCCTGAAACGTGAGACGCTTCTTTAAAGCCGCAAACTTGGTGAAACCTTTGGCACTCAATAAACAAGTCAAGGCCCTAAAGTGCCCGGCTCAAGTTTTGCAACCCTCTCGAGTGTATAAACAGTCAACAGCAGCAACAACATACTGTGCAAAAAGTTTCTTTGCCTATGAACAAGAATCGGCCATTGCCTTCCAACCCAGCAAAGCATCCCAATTCATGGGCATGGAATGTATACATACCAGATATGCGATATGCCAGCGCCAGGTCTTGTGATATCTTGTGATATACGCTCCGAACCTTGTACATCCGCCACATCCGATGCAGGTTCCGGGTGCCACCAGTTTCCACCTGGCACGCGAAGCCGATCTTCGAATCCCCCTGAACAACGAGGTAACGGAACCCAGGCTCAAGAACCAGCATCTTGGCAAAATCACGGCAGAATCATGGACTGAGCGGTGGAAAAATGGTTTAAAACAAATTGAAAAACATCAAACACATAGAGTGAAGATGAGTGAAGGATAGTATGTAATTATCTGCTTCGTTCGCCTTCATGGCCTGATATGCCTACGGCCTACGGATTCTGACTTACCTGCCAGCTATTTCAGCAGTGCGGAGAGTTGTTTCAGATTTTCGTGGAGTCCATGCTGACCGATGGTCACTGGATGAAGCATGTCAACTTCAGAAATGTTCATCAAATGCCAAAATCGTTCAAATCAAGTCTCAATGCTAAGAAAGCACCTTCCCTGGGCCACCCAACTGCGGCCTCGTGTCCAGAGGAAGTGATCTTGAGCCCAAGCTGCTGGACAGCGAGTCGTCAAATTGGGTGCTTCTCACAAGGCACTGAGACTGGAAAGGATGAATATAATATGAAAATCAGAACGCAAATCCACTGGTTGAGTTCAGAATCAGAGCAGGATCTGGATCATCGTGACTCGGTCTTTCAGGTCTTGGTCACCTGTCCCGTTGTTCATGTTCGCAGTCCGACCTTTCAAGCTCTCAATTTGCCGGATGTGAGCGCAACGGTCCATTCTGGAGCAAACCGTTTCAGGTATGCAACAGAATCATAACAGAATTGGCTAAACTACTTGGCCAAGACACTCTGGCTGTTCCCCTTGCGACTTGGTAGTGAGGAGCGCCAAAAAAGCATGGCCACCTATCAAAAAATGAATATAAAAAAACTCATTGTCACATATTCTCCGTTAATCAAATTTGCATATACTAGTTCAATTCAACATCATGGTCGTCCCAGCCTGAGGAACAAAGTGTTTGTTCGTGGTCCGCGGTTTGGACGAGGCAGGATCACACCATTTGCTGCAAATGTGGTGATGGAAGAAGTTTTCAATGCCCTTTTGGCCCAAATCCGTGGGGCCAAAGCGCTTGTCCTTGGAATTCAACACTGGGTCCGTCAGCACAACGCAATCATCTTCAATGGCACCCTGCAGGTCGCAAAGGACCAAATCGCCCTGGCTGTGGTGATAGGAGAAATGGCTCAAGCTTTGCAAAGCATTGGACCATTCACCTGCAGCCTGCCACCCGCTGTTGGAATTGAAAATTTCAAAATTCAACAGGAATGGCTCAGACAAAAAACGTTGCTTGGTCTTCTTCTGAACCCAAACTTCAGCTTTGCAGACCTGCACCATGTGCTTGAACTTTTTGACCTTGTTGAAGGCATCAGCAATTTCAATGGACTTCTCACACAGGGCAACATCGTGAGCAAAGAAGGAGCCTTCAAAGGCTTCTGTCCCATCCTTGAAGATCTTGGCAACTTTCGCCTGCCCAGTCCGAGGTCCGACGGTGTACGCTCCCTTGAAGACCTTTCGAAACTGTCCTTCACCAATAGGTTTGGTCCAGTCCGTCGTGCCCTCAGCTGCATCGTTCTCCCGTGCAGCTGTGGCCGGACGCTTGCGAGCTCGGAGCCTCCCACTTTTCAGCTCAGCCTTGGCTGCATCAATCAGCATCCCAAGGCCAGGCGAACATTTCTCTTGGACGTCCAAAACTGCTTGTTCGATGTCATTGCCACTGAAGCCCTTCTCACCTGACTCCTTGAAATCCAATTTGATGTTCCGAACTGCTCGAGCTGCCACACGGTTCTCTCGAAACGGGTTGTTAGGCTCTTTGTTTGGTGGAAAACCTTGTCGATGGTGAGCAACAACATCAAATTCGATTGTCACCAAGCAGTTCCTAGCCCGTTCAACCTTTACGTGAATGCACCTCGGGTTGACACCATCTATGGTGTAGCCTCTTTGCTTGATGCCGGACACAATCGAATTCCATTGATATTCAAAAATTGGACTCGCACCACATCCAAAAACCATCACATCGATGTCCGACTCTCCAGCGATGTCAGTTCCCTTCATAAAGCTTCCAGCTTTCCTTGGAGTGAGCAGGTACTGTACACTCATGATAATTTCTGCGAGTCACACATTGGAAAGCACCATATTTTGGTTTCCTCCTTTAATCCTCAATCAACGCAAAACATCCCCATTCCTAATTGAATCCTAATTTTTGAACCTGGCCAAATCCAAAGGTTAGGTAACCAAACGAAGATAAAATGATGCTTGTATAATATTGCAAACGATTGGTTTTAGTACCTCCATTGTGGCAAACACGCTTGTGTATGGCGCTAATTGGTGGAATCACACACTTAGTCAGTCGTGTAATTCTTACCCCATGCTTGATCCATTTACGTCAGGACTGCGACGACCATCATGAATCAAACACATACAAAGAATAAGAATCATCAACTTCGCCGACGCACCCAACACAGACTTGACCACCGCCTCAAAGTCGACAATTCCCTGCGAGATGACGGCAAGCTGCTCTTGACTCCAATGCCCTCCTTAGATGTCCCACCCCACACTGGCACACTTAGCTGCAACTACACTGGCACACTTAGCTGCAACTACACTGGCACACTTAGCTGCAACTAATCCCGCAATATGCTGCTGAACAGGGATTGTCATTTGAGGTACAGTAGGTTGAAATGTTGGAAAGTCGAACATGATTGAAACCCACTACTGTATACAGTTCTTGCCTATTCTAACGTTAAATCACCAATCCATTGATCTGGGTTGGCCTGGAAGTTACTCCAATCCATCAGCTGAACCACTAGACGCTGCCCCCAACAAGATTGTTCCCATCGCTCCTGTGTCTGCACGATGTTGTAGCTGCCCGTCTGAGAGGGCTGGTCCTCTTGTGACGCTGCCGTCGGCATGGATGATGCGATCGGTTCCGCGAACTTTCACTGACAATCCATCCACCTTTGAATCTGATTTGTGGCGCAATTCATTCTTCACCTGCTCCATTGGCACCTGAAAATCACGATAGCTGACGGGCCACTGGCCAGTTGAAAAGGAGTACATCACCGTTGTGCAGGCATTTCTTACCAAACAACAATGAATGCAAGTGTGACTCAATGTATGGAGCTGTGGCATGTGCATGGTCGTTCGAAGCAACAATTCCAAGGCGTCATTCATGGCGTCGCCGCACAAAGCTTGCCGGCGAAAACCAACACTTCAAATAGCAACGGTCAAACCTGAAGGCCCTACAGTCCCAAGCACCTCTCAGAAATAGCAAACCATCCCATTTCATCATAATTTCATCCATTCTTACGCCACTTTAGATTCAAGGTACCCAGCTTTGATCAATTTTGACCCATCCCCTCCAGACTTGTCCCGCAAGCCACCAGCTTCAACTTGACATTCCCACAGCCACCAGCACGTCTTGCCATCTTGTAGACCGCCAGCCTGCGATTGTCCAAGGTCACCAGTTGGCCATCCATGCGCCTCACCACGTGCATCATGGGCACCTCACGTTTCTGCATTCCCGCCGTGATCTTCTCGAAAGTGTCGAAGATTGACATCTCAGGATCATCCTGGCCCAAAGCAGAGGGCTGGAATGATCCCTGAATCCCTGGTGCTAGTGGCTAAGATTCTGAGGTGGGGAGTGGGCCATGACCAGTTGTGATTGCAAGATGCTGAAGCGTCCAGACTGCGGGAAATTCAGTATGCAAGTAGCACCAAATCACCAAAACAAGTGTAAAATAAGGACAGGAAAGCAGGCATAACTGCATAACAACAGTTGACCCGACAACGGACAAGTTCGGCCCTGACCTTGAAATGCTCTGAAATCGTATCTTGAGAAAAGCGGATGCTGAGGGGATCTAGGAAGGTTTCTCCCATGGCTATGTTCACTACTGTAGCTCAACTCACTAAGTGACTAAGTTGACCTGGCGACTGCGGTTGCATTCGGTCGTAAGGCTTCCAAGACTCTTTCAACGTGCCCGGCAAATGTTTAGGGGCTGGTTTATTCGTTAGAAGGATATGAACAGACTCTCAAAGAATGTGAAAGCCATCCTAGCGATCCAAGATACAGGTGCTTCCAGTTCAAAAATGCTTACCTCACCAAGATCCATCATTTCTTGATCTAGTCTAGAGTTTCAATGGGGGATCCTTCTCCCCCATCTTTGGATATGACACGGATACACCAATTGCTTCGGTCAACGCAACACCTCTTTTCACCACCCGCTCTCGGCTGACTCAGCAGGGCGTGGTGACGAAACAGACCTGCAAGGCCATGGTCAACCCATGGACAAATTTGGGGGAATAGCCAGCCACAGGTGATATGTAAGAAAAAGACATACTAAAAAGGATGGTACCTGTCCATCTCTATCATTTGCTATCTGTTTATATCTGCTTCTTATTATCACACAAATGCTCATGGCTGTCTCAAGGGGTCCGTCATATGACTTGTTGGAAGTGGCCTGCAGCATCCTGTAGCTGAAGAGGCTGAAATTGTTCAACATTCAAAGTAAATCCTCACAGCAAAGTTTGCAAAACCTGGTGATTTGATGTAATTTGGCAATATTATCAGGGCACTTTTGAATTGTAAAAAAAAAGTCGGGCCATGCTGCACATACAAACCCATCTCTCTATGCCGCTTCTGCCCAATATTCTATTCCATCATCTGAAGACTTCCCACCCCATGATGAATGTGCGGCACCGTCTTATTCCTTCAAGCTACTTCTTGAAGATGAACCACTCTGCCCTCGAGTGCGCAATTCAATGCAATTCATGTTTTCGCCTATGGTCTCTTCGATGCACTTGCCCTGGTTTGGGCGTTCGCGGAAAGCGTCCGCTTTCGTCTCTTGGCCGGCAGCGCCGCAGGTCGCAGATTCATCAGCTTGTCCTGTTAGATTGGGAACAAGGAAGACATAGAAGAATATATATATATAAGCCGTTCGACTTGAAGAGGTTGGGGCCTTTATCTTTACCATCCTTTGTTTCAAAACAATTCCAATATTTCTTAGGACAGAAGGAGTGCCCGTTTCACGCGCCTTGAAGCCGGACAACTCGTCGATTTTCCTTGTGAGGTCTTCTTTTTTCAGAGCCAGTGTCTGATCCGTTGGGAAAAGTTCATCCAGCGCACCCAAATCCCCTCTCCAGATTGCCTCCAGCTGGTCTGCCAGTTGCAACATCATGAAGAACTTGACAAGTTTCGCAGACGATTCCACAAATCCCTCAATCATTAACCCAGTGTAGACGTGTAGCGAGGCACAGATTTCAAGGGTTGCGAGTTTTCGAGGCTCTTCTTGGGCTTCCTCGACTAAGGTCAGGAACTCTACTGGTACCTCACTCTGCCCTTCAGCTCCCCGAAGCGCTGTCGCAAGAGTATCTGTGCCCCCATCCTCGGGATCCTGAAGCCAAGACTTTCGAAACTCCGTCAGCTTGACTGTGTACTGACCATACGTGGTGGACGTTACTTCCTCAGCCTCTGCGAGCATCCCGCATACATCTCGGGTTTTGGCTGCGAGTTGGTCAATGCATTCCTCAGCCTTGGCATCCAAACGATTGGAGAGGATGGGATAGTTGTTCGCGTGGACTTCAATTACATGCATCACCACACTGCGAAGGTGCTCACCAACATCTGTGACCAAGCCATGAACGCTGCGTTTCAACAGCCCTTCATCGATGAAGGTCTGCTTGATGAGGTTGTTGAAGACCTGGGGACCTGTGAGATTGTCCACGGTGTAGCCAGTCACAAAGGTCTGCACGGTGTAATCCACCTCCTCAATCATAGCTTCTCCCAACCAATTTGGATTTTTCTTCAGCAGCTGACTCTTGAAGTTCTGAACCATCGAAGCAACAATTGGAGCAATAGTCAAGTGTCGATCAGAAGGCTCAGCAGACATGAACTCTGCTCGGATTCGGCGCGCCAAATCATCTCGGATCTGTGATACAAGTCTGTTTAAGAGCCTGGACTTGTCTGCCCCCGTCTCCGGCTGAGGGGGCACCTCTCGCAATTCTGCCTGCAATTCGCCCATCTTCCTGCGTACTGATTCCTTGATCTTCGGGAGACACTCATCCACACGGGCTTCCTGAATCTTGGCAACTTTTTCCATCAAGCGCAGGGTGCCCCAGTTCTTCTCTGGCAATCTCTTCATGCGCTCGTTCTTGGTAAAGATCTTCCTTTCCTTGGCCCAAAGATCTTCGCGACTCATTTCCTCGTCGATGTTCTTCTGCGAGCGGTTCACCACGCAGTGAAAACCCAGCTCCAGACGAACATCCGAAGATCTCGACATCAAAACCTCAAGGAGCAAAGGCAAATCAAAAGATTAACCGAGCTTTGCAAACCAAAGGCAGGGGAGGCAAAAGAACAAAAGAAAGTCCCTTTGTGACAGCCATTTCGCGTTTCAAACTGTACAACCATTCTTTTTGGCTTTGCGTTGGAAAATGGTTTTGCCTGTGTTCGCCCACATAGTTAAGAAACTATTTTATCGTCGCATCAATGATTGGCAGAAAGCTGAAAATCGATCGAAATTCAGCCTAGAAAGAATGTGAGATTCAGAAGCGTTTTTTGCAACCAAGGCAGGCGCACGTGCGGTTGTTCAGATTCGTCACATGTTCGACTGTTCGGTTGCATATCGCAAAGCCCAGGGACAAACACAAAAAGTGGCTTGAGAATCGCGATAAGGTTCTTGGGCCAAACTATATACTATGATTTGAACCCTGCAATCACATCCAACACTGCCCATGCAAAGGAGAAAAAAAACGACGCACCTTCTTCACAATATCAGAAGCTTCGGCATTGGCGGCATCATCGCACTTTGTTACAACGCCCAAAGTTCGGATGCCATCTGGATCGTACTTCCGCGCCAATTTCACCACCTGCACGAAAGCAAGTGAGATTGTTTTTGAAAGCTGCGACTTACACAAGACAAAGTCCACCGAAATCCGAAGAACTTGAGTTGACTTTAGGCAAATCCTTGCGCCATCCAGTTGAGAAGAACCGCACCCTGCCTCCGCATTACCAAAGTCAGACATGGCAGGGATCACGCAAAGGATGACCATCTCTTTAGGTCGGATGTATTCTTCCACCAAGTTCACAGTCACCTGGCACCCATCAGTCATTGGGGAACTTGGGGTGGCTCTCTCAGGAAGGCCAAGCCAACTAGCTCCAGCAGCCACCTGTGGTGGTTTCTCAAGATCATCCCAAATGTATCGATTCTAGTAAGAAAATCAATCATTTTGGGGTTACCCCAATTTTGTAAACACCTACAATATCCCATAAATATCGGCAAGGACTCTTTCCGTCAGCTTTCCATCAAAAATAATTTCCCGCCTCATGGATGTCCTTCATCTCATCAGAGTTGTGCGTGACACCAGGAAGGTCAATCAAACTCAGCTGGGGTCCTTCCTTGCGAACCACGCGAATATACATAGCCTCAAGTGGGCCAAAAAAAGGCTACAGCACTGTTCGCAACCCGTATGAACTCTTTGAAAAGTCTGACGTGAAGGAAACCAGGTATTTGCAGGGGCCATAACAGACGATGGGAAAAATGTGGAAGCTAGTTCTATGCTGGGGGTCACCAACAGTATCCAGCAGCATTGTTGTAGGAGATTCCACCAGTGCTGGCAGACTTCCGCCGTGATTTCTGCTGATTTGTGTATCATCTCTAAGGCTCGTTGGTGCAGACGCCTATCGATTGCTTTGCCCTGATGTGGGACTTGTGGACAAACATAATTATTTTTGTGTGCCTGTGAGCATCATCTCATCAGCTCTGCTATTGCCCGACCCCACCCCACCCAACCCGACCCGCATCATCGAATCAAGATCTATCAAACGTACGTTTCGCCCTGGGTCGCTAATAACGCCGTTCATAAGAAGACCCTGGATGGTAAATTTGTGTGTGTGTGTGTGAAATCCGCTATCACTCATGCGGACCTGAGTTTCTGTTAACAAGTTGATTCAAACAATCCATCAGATGCAGGGGCGTGCAGCACCTTTGGCATACTGCACGCAACGAAGCTATTGCCATTGGTGGGAAGGGGAGACTGATCACCTCCCTGTACCTGCAGAAGTTGGTTTTGAACTGTTGAACAAGCTGTCCATTTTCATGCGTATATGTTGCTAATTTGAGATTATCTCAGAAATCAGAGTTTCCCACTGCTTTCCCTACTCGACTGACCAGGATTTTGGACCTAGGAACCCTCAAGGCATGAACTACTTCACCACTATAAAGTTCCTCATTCGAGTAATGTTACTCAGTAACATGCTCCCATCAGCAGTGTGTAACGGGCACAGTGTCACTGACTTGTGACTGCCGTCCGCGTGTTTGGTGACACGCGTTGAATCGGTACCGGCCTTCCGGAAGAATAGTGGGGTACTGCAATACCTCGAAATCTGACGGGTATTAATTCCCGTGTGAATTGGCTTCAGGCCGAAATACATGAATCAAATACAATGCAAGATTTCACAAGATTTGGAATACGTCACAAGACAGCAGCAAGCCGTATGGCTGGAATTCTGAAAGACAGACACGAATTTATTACATTCTACACGTTCGGGCAACTCAGATCTGTTCTGTCATCATTTAGTTCTTTTGTTTTTCACCTTTCCTCTGTATCTGTTTGAGCCATGTCGAAATCTGATATTCCAGCTGCAGTACCAAAGTCGCGATGTCCACCTAGTCCTACTCCTCCACCATCCTGGATCACACCTGTAAGTCGCCAAAGTCGTCCTACAGTTCTTGGATTTACAGGACAATGCGGACAATATCGAATTGAAGGATCCAACATTCAAGAGACACGGGACTTACTCCAGACTGTTCTTCATACGGAGTCTCAACATGTTCAACATGTTCAACACATGCAGTTTCAACAAATGTTGACTTTGTCACAAAATATGATGTTCTCCAATGCTCTTGGCATTCAACCCAGCTCATTTCATGCACCAATTGTTGATCGTGATGATCGAATGGACGGATCGAACGTAGTTTCTGGATTGGGCTCTCATTCTGCACTGCCCTCAGACACTGTGGAACGTCAGAACCGTAGCTCTCAAGTTGCACTGCCCTTAGTCACTGATGATCGTCAAAATCAGATCACATCAAATGACCGAGTGGATCGAGTACGTCCCACTGTTACAGCTGATTTACCAAGAGATGGAACGGTCCGGGTGCCTCTGACTTCTGAATCAGATCAACGGGATCGAGTTCGGGCATCAATGTTTATAGACCAGCCGTCAGTCTCAGTTGCTCCCATTCCACGTTGGGGATTGTTCGTACATTGTTTACATGACCATCATGGACACAAGAAGACCTTCACTAGTGATCGAAGACTACCCGGACCTAGACCAAAGGTTACGACTCGCATTGGACGGCCTCCTTTGACTGTTGAAATTATTGAATTTTTACACCCTCAGAGTGATCAGATTTCTTTTTGGACGCTACCCACCACTGCCACATTTTGCTGTGATTGTATTACTTTAGAACAACCTGAGAAATCACCTTGGTGGTTCCTATATCAGTGCATGGGCCGCATTCGTGAAGAACTCTATCAAGATCCTTACCGTATCAAGAATGCATATGAAACTGGTGCACTCACTTTGGCAGTTGACAAATGGACGCCATCTTTGACATATTTTCAGCAACAATACTCTTTTCGAACTATTGACTCGATTGCGCTGTTAAAACAACAACTTATGACTGACCATATGCAGATCCTCAAAGATGAGTATTCCGCCAAGTTTGAAAAATTCTCCTCAATCATCCATTCCGCACTCGAAGTATTGATCTCTACTCTCCTTCTACATTCTGAAGTTTGGGCTTTCGTGGAGTGCATCGACTTACTCTTTGATCACCAGAATCAGTCTCTTGTGGCCATTGTCGCTCGCTTGGAACCAGTCGTTTTTACACAAGAACCAGAAATTCCTGCTGCAGAATACATATGTTACGCACACAACACGAATCCACAATCTGCTGCAGACAGTTTATTCCATGGGTATATCAGACCATCATCCACTGACCCACAAGACGAGACATGGATCCCGGCATTGACCTTTTTCTGTCGTGGCGTTACTGTGGCAAGACCTGTTATGACCAGATCAGAGATGCTCACAACCTTGAGAAAGGCACAGAAATATTCCAATTTTACCACTGATCGTCCTACATGTTTGCTCGGTATGTCTAAATCAAGACAACCACATGTGACCAACGTTCTCGGCGGTGTTATTGGAGAACATGCTTGTACACACTATTTTGACAGTGTACATGGACGTGACAAACGTTGGGGTCTTCGTTCTCATTTGAGTCCGCTTAGCCATTTAGCTTGTATCATCCCATCATCATGATCAATGATCATGGAAGTCACACAATTTTGTTGCGCTCCGTAGATCAAAAGCTGCGCTCTGTTGTATCACTTTTTGAGCGGTTTCATTTATCAAGCCATCTCTTCATGAGTCATTTCAGATTTCGTCCAAGTCACCTTTTTGTGAGTTACAGTCACATACGTTTGATGTTTTTCCCAGTGACGATTTCGAAATCAAGAGTATTTACATTTTGTTAAGTCTAATTCAGCTGCTGTTATTCTTGAGTACTACAATTTGACTTGCATCAAAATTGTCTGGTTCTGTTCAAAATTTTTTCACTACTGTTTTCCATGATTGGTATAATTCACAGTGGATCAAACCCGTCAGTAAGTCGTTCTTCAATCCGTTTGTGATCAGTATTTGGACAGATGCAGTCTCAACGCCGAGATTCTCGATCCAGATCTCGACATCGCAGTCGTGGACATCGTCGACATGAGTCTAAGGAATACCGTGATCGAAGACGACCGCTGTCCCGGACCCAAGACCTCAGTCGTGCACGATCACCAGACTTACCTGATTCGTGGCAATCCACACGAACCCATTATGACACAAAGACGGAGTATGGATTGACTTTTCCACGACATGTTGAGTCGACCAATTTTTCACGAAAGAACAATACAGCTGGCATTCCTATTTCTGATGTTAAGCTTGTCGACATTGTGTCCAACGGTCTTGAAAATTGGGCTTTGCGCCTTGTTGCCAATGGTAGGTATGTCGCATGTGAGATGTTTCGAAATCGCCTTGAAGCCACATTTTCTACCATGCTTTTTCGTGAACTCTACCGACAAAAAGACAATGTTGATTTTGCGAAGCTCATCCAGCATTTGTCTTCAGAACCAGGTGATTCTCAAGATTGGAAATACAAGCTTTCAGGAATTGAGGCGTTGATTCAACAGACTGTTGATTTGTTCAAGACTTTGGCACCCAAAGATTCCAATCAATCATTGTTAGAAGAACTGGAAAGAATGAAGAAAGAGAACGCAGCTCTTCGTGCCAACCAAAGTCAAGTTCCTACTCAGGAAGGATCACAGACTCAGAACACTGAGGAACCACCAGGCGGAACACTCCCATCCATGTTTCGTCAATCAGCAAGAGAGGAACTCAGACGCCAAAAAAGTCAGTCGATGCCAAGTATGCCGGGAGCCCAAGATGACCGTTCTCCACTCTCACAATATCGACGTGGACAAAACGCACCCATCTTAGGCACACACACACCCAAACATACCATGACTGAACTCGACAAGTGGATCAAGAACAATGTTCCTAAGACGGAACAAGTCAATGTTGATGCCATGTTGAAGACCATTACTGACGAATACAATCAGTTTCCAGCCTCTGAAAGACCAAATTTAGAATCGATTCTTTCAGATTGGGGTCTCCCCAGTACAGTACTGGCCAAAACAAAGGCGGAATACAATTTGAAGGTTTTGGCCGCCGTTCAATTCCTTCGAAACTGACATTTTGGATTAAAAACCAGTGAAGTAAGTCCTCCATCATCATGGGGGCAGCCATTTCGCAAGTATTCCAAGCATATGCATGGTGCAGAGACAACGAAGCTTGCCTCACATTTTCAGTCGCTGTGGTTTGCTAGCATCCAATTCATGATTTACACTTTGCAATTTTCTCCAGCTTTACCATGGCATGTACAGGAACGGATCATGTGGATACTTAGTGTTTGGACCATTTTTGCTTACTTCATTCGACCTTTTTCAGCCAAAAATCGACGTCTTCTGACTATTTTGCGGCAGTGCGAACTTCCAGAAATTTTGTCATGGACATGGTGGAACAGGTCGAGCATCGTGTACTGTCGTTTACATTTTCGAAATGCTCAGTTTTACATTGGCTCTACTGAACAAACCATGTTTTCGAGAGAACAGAGTCGGTTACGAAAATACCGACAGTTAAAGAAAGACCAACTTGCTTACTACGAACCAGCTTTGAAGGCCTGGTCAGCACAACGCAATTATTTTCAATTTATTGGTTTTCCTTTACTCCAGACTGACGTTGACAAGCTTCTTGCAGTTGAAACAGCATGCCAAAGGACTTTTCGCCCCATTTACAATTGGCCTTGGATCAATCCTTTGATGAAACAACTTCGGATTGGTAAGCAACAATTCGGACCTTCAACTTTGAAGACCAGTACTCAAGGGATGAAATTTGTGAAACGATTTCGCAAACGCAGTCTGCAAACTGCTCAATGCATTCTTAGTCGTCGGATTACGGATACTACAAGTTTGTACATTTTCATGTATTCCCTTGGTTCTGACACGCATGACAAGTTCATTTGTTCTCGCATTCTACGTTCGAAGTTGTCAAATGTGCAGTTGATTTTCTTGTTATGGCGCTTGAGCCACCATATGTCGGAACCTTTTCGGACCAGAGCACAATCTCAATTGCGTTATATTTTCAAATTCTATGCTACTGAATCGCCACCAGCGAATATACCCATGCAGTTACAGGTTTTGTCGGATACAATGGAACGTCGATTTCGACAATGGTTGCTGGGATTCACTCACCATCATCGCTGTAACTTTCCCATTTTTCACAAAGTTCGTGCACCGTTTGTGACAGTGAAAAATCGAACTTTAGCTCAATATTTGTACAATTTTCGTTCTTTTCTAAAGTTGTGGACACCTCAGTTTCGCCCTCAGTGTGCTTGTCAGTTGTTTCCTCTTCATGTTCAACACAATCCACGGAAAACAGATCATATTTCATCCTTCGCCTCGGAATGTTTTCCACTGGATCCTATTCTGACTGCACATTTGGAGGATGAAGTTACACCTACGTGGACACAATTTTTCCATCAAAACACTTTCCAATTTGAAAAATGGTTGCGACGTTGGAAACTTCGCCGAGATCTGATCCAGTATTGGCAGGCTTTTCTACAAGACTGTTGGAATTTGCAACTTGATTCAGGTCAGTTGTACACTCAAAAACGTATTCAACAGGCTCGACAAAGGATCGACGGACTTATTGCTTCCCCAGCAGATCATTTTCCATCGTCTCTCACCTTACATTGTCCTGTCCAGTGGCACAATTTGCTGTGTAAGACATTTCAAGACACCTCTGTTTTTCATCTTTGTAGTGTTGATTCAGCCACTATTCTGAAGAATATTCAGTATGATCTTCCTGGATGGATCACTGACAGATATCCTTGGGCTTTCGATTTTCATTTGTCATTAAGCAAGGCGTATATTCTTCCAAAACCTTCACGCTCGTTTATGAAAGCACGACCCATCGTTAATTACAGTCGATCTTGGCCAAAACAGATGGGTTATATTTTGTCTGTGGTGTTGCAAGATATTTTGAAAGTTGTTTATCCATCCTTACTTCGCTACAGTGATATCAACAAGGTGATGAACGAAATCAAATGCTTTTTCCAAATTGATCATGGTGCTGACCTTCTTCTCTTTCAGACTGATATTGCTGGTTTCTACAACCAAGTTGAACATGACCGCATTCTCGGATCTATTGAATTCGCCATTCATCAATATATTTTACAACATGGACAGACCTTCGATTCTGTACTTCAAGCACACGTATATCAACATGAACGCACCCTGCGAGTTTTTAGAGGTCAATGGCGACAACACACCAAGATGTATCGTGATATTCGCTTGGGCGACATTCTACCTATTTGTAGCTTTCTGTTGAATCACAGTTTTTTCACCGTCGGAATGTCTACATTTTTACAAAAACGTGGTGCCAGCATGGGTAGTCAATGGGCACCTATTTTCTGTGCAGCTGTCGCACTCATGCGAGAACATACTTTTCTGTCCTGTTTTCGTCAATTTACCAACAATTCCACTTTTCATCATCGTTACGTTGACAATCGAGTGATGCTACTTCCTGTGGGACACTGGAACTCAGAAATGCAGTTATTTTGGAATCTTTCATTCTATTCACCTCCCATTCTACTTGAACAAGTTGAAGGATCTGAATTGTTAGGATACAACGCTGACGTGTTACAGCGTACAACTACATATCTTCAACCTGTGGACAAAGCGTTTCGTTCAACAAGGAGTTCAAGTACGACTAAGGCACTCACGTCCGGAGCTCTGGCCAGAATTCGTCTCATTTTGCAGAATACATGGCCCAGTTCTCTACAAATACCTCAAATTCAAGATTTTCTGTCCATTTGGTCTCGACGACAACGTGATGTATTGTCTTCTACTTTGAGAAGTCAGATTATCAAATTGGTACGCTCACGTCATCCACAACTTGATCCTGATTCTCTTTTTCACTTTGACTAGATACCATGACAGGAAACGCAGACAAAACAGTTGCTGGATTTCGCATTGTCGTGTTTTGTCGTCATTCGCCATCACTTTCGTGAAGTCATTTGATGTTGGACATTTTCATCAATGGGCATTCTTTGACGTTTTTCATCTGAAGTTCGATAACGTCACACTGTTTTCTTCTTTTTCATTTACCTTTTCAGTTATGTTCATGTTGTGTTTTTCTCAACTCAGTTGTGTTCATCATACTTTTGCCGATTGCGAATCTTGACTTTGACAGTTCGAATCACACGTTTTTGAATTTTGAAGAGTGTATTTAAGCTCAAACTCAAACCAATCTATCTCCTTCTTACGATGCCTTCGTTGCGTGAACTTAGCAATACTTTGGAACAGTGGTCCCTTCGGAAACGTCTCACCGATCGCTCCAGATCGCCAGTTCGGGAACCCTATATTTGTGATGGTCAGACACGTTCGAGTATCAAGAACGCTTCAGTTGAGTCTCGTTTCGAAAATGAAAGTGAACGATCCAGATCGCAAGTCCGGGAGCCCTATAGTTATGATGGTCAGACACGCTCGAGTATCAAGAACGTTTTGATCGAGCCACTTTCTGAAAATGCAAGTTCTACATCATATCGACGTCAAGATCGGTCTTTCACTGCAGCTGATGGTTCATCTGTTCAGTCCTCTTTCCCTTCAACCGATCGTTTTCAGAAGAGTCGCTCTCCAACGGGAACGCAGTCTGGACCCTTATTCTGTCCCAAGGAGACCATTTGATTTACAGTGAACCTTTCCCATATGTTGTACAAGAATTTCTAGGACATGTATATATTGCAAACTGATACTGCGATGAAAAACAGCGTTCACCAGCAGCTGCCTCCCCTGCCGGGGGGGCCATTGTGTGTGTGAAATCCGCTATCACTCATGCGGACCTGAGTTTCTGTTAACAAGTTGATTCAAACAATCCATCAGATGCAGGGGCGTGCAGCACCTTTGGCATACTGCACGCAACGAAGCTATTGCCATTGGTGGGAAGGGGAGACTGATCACCTCCCTGTACCTGCAGAAGTTGGTTTTGAACTGTTGAACAAGCTGTCCATTTTCATGCGTATATGTTGCTAATTTGAGATTATCTCAGAAATCAGAGTTTCCCACTGCTTTCCCTACTCGACTGACCAGGATTTTGGACCTAGGAACCCTCAAGGCATGAACTACTTCACCACTATAAAGTTCCTCATTCGAGTAATGTTACTCAGTAACATGCTCCCATCAGCAGTGTGTGTGCGCGTCCAATCCTTAGATGCTTAGATGCGCCCCACACCAGCCTGTGTGACAAAACCACGGTATAACTATAAATTAAATGTGTTCAATGAAGATTGCACAATCCAACAGCCAACAAAGGCCCGGCGGATCCTGGCTGTGCAGCACAGAAACCTGGCTTGAGATGAACTGGTCGCCGCCAGTCGCATATTCTTCGGTCAGCTGTTTGATCTGCTTTTCAACTTCCGGCACGGTGCATGTTGTTGCCTTGGCTGCATACAAAACAAGCTCAGCAAAATATCCATCATTGCTTGCACCAACCTTTGGCCCAGAAAATGAAGCTTCTCCCGCTGTATACTGGCAAAATAAGAACCAATTTTGCGGTGCACAGCCCAAGGATCATTAGCAAAACCTGGGTCGATGGAAACCATGGCGTGGGATTCCTTAACTGTTGGATCGGTAAGCAGCGACAGCACGCAAGGCATCCTTGTACAAGTGTTCTGTGCTCTCGGAAACTGAATCCCGGAGATGTTTTCCAGCAGGGATGATTTGCCAGCCGACTGCTCCCCAACCACCACAACTCCGGGCAGTGGAATGTCAACAGATTGGCATACATGGCGAACACTTTCGAACATGTCCAATTTCTTCGAAACCTCTGCCTGTGTTGTCATCAGCGCTGTTTCGGCCTTAGGACGCCAGTCTCAAATTGCAGCGCTGCAAGGATCAAAGTAATCCCATCCCTCTAATATTGGACACCCCCTAAATGATGGGATGTTTACTTAATATGAACGGAAGGGATTCCTGTGCTTCTTTCCCTTCTTCGAGATGATTGGAAAAAACCCAGGGCCCCAGACCGATACACCCTTTGGCTCGACTGTCGCAGCCTTAGTCTTTGCGGCAGTCCTGCAAGCAATTTCTTTCCTCATGACTCACGTGGCAGAAGTGCTGTGACTGTTGTGTCTGGCTGCCAGTAGTCCCGTGGTAGGAATTCCAACAGTTTGCAAGAATCAATACCCTTGTGCCCCAACATGTCCAAACCACAAAACCATCAACCAACACTGGATCCAGAAAGAGCTCGTTTTAAACTCCTGTCCTTGCCACTGTGCGGCCGCGGCAACGAATCGCAACGGCGCTGGCCAACAGAGTGCATCTGCCTGGAGCAGGGAATACAAGGGGATGAAGGGGATGATGGCAAAGCAGAACCACCGCATTTCAGGGGAAGCAAAGCAAGGCGAAAAAAATGGTGCTCCAGGCTTGAGGGACAAAAACAACAATAGTGTATGTATAGCCTTACATTCTATAGTATATATAATGTAGAAACAGATAACCAACCACAACACACCACAATCCGCTAACGCTATTTCTTGAGCCATTGCCACACAGTAAGGAGAGGTGAAATGCTAAGACATATGTAAAGACTGTGCAACAACACCCCCCGTGCAGTGTAATTACCGCACAGGAAGTGAAGCTGCAAATTAACTATGTACAGTCTAGTAAGGGATGCCGTTACATTAACCAAATTAGGGAAACAAAAAAACAACAAACCCAAACCCGACCGTCGCCTAACCTTTTGATGTCTTTTGCGTCTTCACCTCAGTGTGGCGTGAAAGTTGACAACAAGAGCAAAAAGTGACAATGCATTTCATTTGACCCGACATCAAGTGCTGCGATCAACGGATGCAAGGAACATCAATTCGGTCGAATGCATTCGGCTTCAAGTTTTAGGCTCTACCAGGCTTGCGATCGAACATGCACAGTGGAAAAAGGACTTGGCCCGTTACATAGGCCTGCGTTTCCACGCGGCATCAAAAGTTCTTGTGGACGCCCGGGAGCTTGCCAAAGCAAAGCGATATGAATTATAGCAAAATGCTGAATTCAGTTTTGGTGTGAACCCGCAGGGAAGCTTTCAGAAATGCTTCAAAGATGCCTTAACTTCGCAAGGCAAGAGCTTCCGCTCTGCGGTACATGCAACTACCAGCCGTGTGCTCAGCAAGAAGGAATCATGGCAAGAATGAAATGAGTGCCAAATGCCTGCTTCAAATTATATGCATTCAAAGCGTTAATGGGAGTTTTTGTGAACTTGAAATGAGTTGGCAAAAATTCCTACTTAGCACACACCTGTTTGGGTGTTGGTGGAATCGCGCACCCACCAGTGCAAATGAAGCTAATCGCCTACCCGAATTAAATCAGAGTAGGCAACAGCTTCCGCTGTGCGACACTTCACATAGAGAAAAACTATCCCGCCTCAGTTGAAAAAGGAATTCACCAGGCGAGAGGTTCCCCTCCGCGGTGTCTCAGCAATAGCCCGACCAACGTCGATCCCTGTATTGGTGGCCTTGGTTTCGACGGCGCCAATCTTCCCACTCCTGGTCAGTCCACTGGTTGTAGAAATCGTTCCATTCCTGTTGACTGTAGCCATGCGTGGGTCCCTGATGTGATCCATACCCAGAACGCGAAGACCTGGTGACATCTGGATTCTGCTGTTTGGTAGCAGGCAGGGGTCGGCTTCCGCCTTCCGTGTCCTTTGCCTCCGTGAGGGGGCGCAAGATGTCGTCGACATAGCTGAGAATGTCGGCATACACATCCTGCTTGGACAACGCAAGGGATTGGAACGTCGTGTTGGCGATGCTCAAGACCTCGAATCTGTCGGCCACGGGGATCAAGGCATAGGCGGCGGCGAACTGGTTGGCTCTGTAAAAGCGGTTTTTGTACCAGATGAGAACATGATCGTCAACGACGATCGTCTGCATCTGTCCACCTTCGTATGCGACCATGCACATACGCGCTTTGTACTGCCGAACCTTTCCAGTTCGGATTTCCTCCCGCGTGCGCTTGATGCTCGGGAGCAGGACGTTGCCGAGGACGGTAATCCAATGCATACACCTCGGCGTCAGGTCTTGGACCGCACAGTTAAAGGCGTAGTGGGCGTCCGTTCCCAGACGCTGGAGCAATGTCATCCCCGCTTTTCGTGCCTGCTTCATGTATGAGCGGGCATGATTTTTGAGGACAGCAGCAGCAGAGCGGATCTGCTTGGCACCTTGTGTGGTGCCTGCTACATCGTCATCGCCCAGCAAGTCGAGGGTCAATTCAAAACCAAGTTTCTCGGCCAGCTCCTCAAGTCGAAAGACCTGGCATGCACGGCGCATGTCGGACATAGTCGCCAAGGACAAGCCGCATGCAAGGCATACCAACATCCCCTCAGGAAAAATTTTCCTGCACCGGGGGCATGTCAATTCTGGCATAGCCAGCATGGATACATACCGCCAGCGCGTGAGGTTCCCCTCCGCGGATGGGTCAAAGGCCTCCTGATCGAAGCGATCAGAACGGCGTTCCCGCGTGTTGTCAGGGGCAATGTCGAAGGCAGCAGCCGTCACAGTTGGTTTTCGCGCCACACAGAGAAGGTTGGTGAAGTTGAGCGGTCGCTGCCTGGTCTTCGGCAGCAGTTCGTCGACGACAGGGTAAGGTGTTGGAACTTCTTTGTAGATGAGTGGACGGCGCAAAGTAACCACGTCCTTCCACTGATCATATTCATTCGTGAAGAGCACCTTCAACGTCTCCAAGTCCGAACACTCATACCTTTCAAGCGGAGGCCTTCTGCCGAAGGTACTTCTTGACCCCGTTGTAGCCGTGGTTGGCCCAAAGGTATTGCGACTTCTCGCAATCGAATGCGTAGATGAGGCAATGGTTCGGGATCCAGTCCTCGCAGATGAGGGCACCGGCCAAGGTTTCCACCAGGCGAAGACCATAGTGCAAAGCGCAATCGGTGTCAATTGCAATGCACACGGGTCTGTTCGTCCTGACACCAGGATCCTTGCCTTCAAATTTCCCAAGGCGCATGTCGGGTCATGTAAACATGACCCTTGCAAGACGAAGCCCCGGGGAAAATTCCCGTGCAAATGATCTGCTGAAGGGCGTTCCATGACGTGTAATGGTAAATTACACGGAACTCTTCTGGGACCTCGGCTTCCGCCAGGTGAGGATAAATAGGAACCCTTGGGTAGAATCCCCTTTTCAAATCCTCCACCGTGAACTGGTAGTCAAGCGAGATGATCTGCTTGACCAATGGAGCCGTCCCCACCTTGTCGATGAGGGATTGGTCGTGACCTTGGCAGGCTTTCACATGCGTGATGCGGTACGGCATGTCCAAAGTTGTCAGTTCCCCGACAATTCCAGCTTCAATGCGACACATGAACCTGTCCTGCGTCCTGAGGATCAGATAGAGATCCTCCTTTGAGAGCTGGGCCCTGTACCTCTTCTTCAAGTAGCTGTACATGCTCTCGAAGTTGAGGTAGAGCTCGTCATCGAATTCCGGTGGAATGTGACGATGATGGGGTTCCAAAAACTTGTGGTCGTAGCCGCGCAACAATCCAGTGACCCGCTTGGAAAACTTGAAGTCGTCGTAGCTAAGATGTCCAAGATCTCGAAGGCCAGGCAGTTCAGTGCACCTGACGGTGAACTCCCTGCGCTCGCCCGTTCCCGGGGAGAAAAAGTACCATTTGGGGTATCCCGATGGTCGCAAAGGTGGTTCAGTTGGAGGCTGAGGTCCACCCATTCCCGGGGGAGGAGCACTTGCCATAGGCGGCTCCTTCTTGGCAATCTTCGGGGCAGGCTCCGTCGAAGGCGCAGCGGCTGGTGCCGATGACTTCTGAGGAGGTGCCCTTGGTGAGGTTGTTGTCAACGTCGGTGGTGGAAGGCAATGCCTTGGGCATAGGTTGGTCCGCAGCTTCCGCTGGGAGTGCAGGTGGATCCGGTTTGGGGGACCCGATTGCACTCTTCGGAGTTGGTGGCGGACTTGGCTTTGGGGACGCCATGGGAGACGTTCCCGTCGCCGTTGAAATCTTGGGGAGCTGAGGAGCACGTTTGTACGAAGCCATCGTGCTCTGGTCCTTCGTCTTCGGCTTGATGAACTGGCCGACTGCATCTCCAATCACCTGTGCGATGCCGCTCGATGACGATGCCGCTTCCGATTTGGGAGCCGCCTTCGATTTGGCTTTCGACACAATTTGCAGAGAGGCAGCGGGGTCACCCGCGCGAAGTTTCTCCTCGGCGGACTTGGGCTCCTCAAAGATTTCACGTTCCATCTGACGATGCTTTTCCTCATCCGTCAAGTCAAAGCGACGAATGATGACTGCACCTTCCTCCGTCTGCTGCATGGACTCCTGCCGAAGTTCGAGTTTGGCAGGATCACGTGTGACGTCGGTGTCCAAGATGTTCACTACGCCAGAGCCATCCAACTTGAAGTCCACAGCGTGGATCTTGTTCATCAGATGGGAGCGCAGCTTCCGCTGGCCGAGCAACGACGCCGAGCCGCCGACAATGGGGTCCTTGAAGACAATTTCCTCGTCATCGTCCGGCTCGTCGATGTCACGCTCGTCCGACACACCTGGCAACCGATCCAAAAAGGGCTTGAGGATGGCGTCAATGAGCTCACCATCCATCTCCGGCTCTTTGACCTCATGTGGTTCAAAGTGCTCGGGTTCCCCCGGCAGTGCAACATCCACGGACTCCAAAAGCTGCCAGTTCGATGAGGCCACGGCCGCATCATCCTGCACCACAGGAGCTTGTTGTAGCTGTGCACGTTCAGGATCGACTTCATTGGGAAGTCGTTGCCCCTTGGGTCGGGTCTCCTTCACATAGATTTCCCAACCGTCCACGTCCATGGAGACAAGCACCTCCTCCATTTCTTCCCACTCCGGATTGGGTTCCGGAAGCGGGGCGGCCAGCGATTCCTCACGGCGCTTCTTCATCTCCGCCATTTCAATCAATGGCTTGCACGACCGAAGTCGGAAGAGATGATATCCCAAAGCGCCTGCTTCCGAGTAGAATCGAATGCACTGGAGGCGGTTGTGCTCGGAGTTTTCCATGTGTTGTTTGTCATATCGCGTCGTGCATTTGATCAACGACGTGGCATCAAGCACACAAAGCCCACGCTTTCTGAGTGTTTCAGCCTCGCGGATCATCTGCCGGTCAAAGTCAGGATGAAGCCCATAACCTCGACCATACCATGGCATCACGAGGACGATGTTCCCAACGTCGGCACGGGTTGTCAGCTTCACGAGGTCGTTGAGGGCGGAGAAATGGGTATTGACCCTTTCCTCCATGAGATCGTTTGCTGCGTCCCGGCGCTTCTGTGAGTAACACGCCATCTCCTGAT